ACTTATTTATCCAGGCTGTTTGGATTCAGCACTTACCTTAAGACATAAAATAGCACTTGCAATCACCAGAATAGATGTATTAATGACACTGAACTTCTAGATGAACAAAGACCTCCTAATGGCTTTCATATAAGACCTGGATGAGTGCATATTGTTTGTTGTGTCCTGACCATTTATTCATTACCTTCACAGCACAGCATCGGCGGACACAATAAACTGATACATAACCTTTGCAGACATGGCGCATAATAAACTCTTTGTTGTTTCTATGAGAGCAGAACTTTCAAAACATTCTAAAGATATATATATCCGACAGCAGCCTACATTGGCCTTGACATGTGTCTCGGTCCAAGACTCATAAAAGGAAATATACAATTATGTGAGAAGCAATAAAATGTGACATTTTTGATGCATTTTGTACCATTTCTAGTGAATAGTTCAATACCAATTTGTATAATAAACGAAAGAATGTGTATGAACTGGCCTAATAACCTAGACTGATTTACAATCTATGTATATATGAGCATTTTTCGCTATCACCTAAAGGTAGTCGCTTTCTTGAAGAGTTTGTCAAGTATGCTAAACTACATGAAATATATGATTAAATATTTGGGAACCTACCTCACCAACATGTGACAGTGAATTTAAGTAAATCCTGTGAATGGAACTATTAAATCAGACACTCTTTCAAATCAACAGACTGAAAAACCACTACTTAGCAATCAACGGCTTTGTGTCTTCATGCGTGATAATTGCAACCCAGAGGAATCTGACTAAAATAGTTCCTCAGCTCAGTCACAACTTGGCTTTTACATCATTGGAACAGTAACTTCTTAAAACAGCCTCACAGATCGGATCACACCAGAAGTAGCTGCAAATGTCATGATATGCTTCATGGTACTTCGATGTTGTGCTCCTATTGATGATGTGGTCGAAGCCAAGGGACCCAGTGCTTTTAGATGAAGAAACACAAAATGGTTATTGCATTATGAAAGCTGTTATAGAGGACATGGTCTGCAGTATGTGCTTATGTACAGTATATAGGTCTGTCTGCCTCAGGCTATGAGCTGAGTCAATACAGAGCCGTGCATGCAGAAGAAGAACTATGGATTTTCACATCATGACATATAGAGAAAGAGACACAATAAATGGGGCGACATTGTGGCACATTGGTTCGACCTATCGCCTCTCATCAGGAAAGGTCCAGGGTTTGACTCCCAAGCGGCACAGAGCCTTTCTGAGAGGAGTTTGCACGTTCTCCCCTTGTCCACGAATGTTTCCTCCGGGTTCTACGGTTACTTTTGCCTCACTAAAAATGCCTACAATTGGACATCCTGGTGTACTTACAGTATAGTGGCTTTAGTAATATGGAATCTTAGAGAGTCATACATATCAAATTCATTGTCCATATTTCAAAACACAAATGGTACTTCTATATGGTGCTTTAAACATGTTATTGTGAAATGAGTCAACCCTAGATTAGCCTTTATTTGGGACAATGCACCTAAAAATAGTACATTCCTCCAAGATTACCAACCTCAAAAACCTTAATACACAATTCAAGCTGAACTTTTACTGTGTGCTCCACCTTCCTACTGTTCTGTAATGTGTGTTAAACTGTGGGACAAATAATAGATCTCTTAAAGTGATAGTCTGTAACTCTAAATAAATTACACATTTTAGGAAATGTGTTAAATTGACCTCTTGGCCTTAAATGTTGATATAAAATAAATAATTTTATTCATTCTAATATTAAGGGCTAGTCCCGCCTTCCTTAGCTATAGCTCAGAATCCACGATGCCGTCCACGTTAACCAATCGAGTCATGCCAAGGGCTGTCAATCATCGGCGCTGATGCTCGCAGCTGCTCACATGCTCAGTTGTTTGTTTTCGCGGAACCTCCGAATCAAGCCTCTATTAAGCTCTGGAACTACATGAAAACTGAACAAAGAATTCTGAACATCCGCGCTGAGGTACTTATGTATATACTGAACCTATATCCATAATCAGATCCTCTGCAGATGTGTCCTATAATGTGCAATTCATGATAATAGCTTCTTCCGGGTTTGCCGCGATCGCTTTTTTTGTGCATAAAAACATTATTTTTTTCATTAAAACGTCAACAAATAATTCTGAAAACCTCTGTGCATGTGTATTAATAATGTATATGTATAATGTGTTCTCTGATTAACATTTAAAAGTGTTACGGAAACGAAGGTGTAGACCAATCAGAAAGGAAGGGGGAGGAGCTTGCGTCGTTTATTTCAAATCAAGTACCTCTCTCTCTCTCTCTTTCTGACAAACTCCAGACAATCACTTTAATCTAGAAGATTGCCATGCCTTTAACGTAACATATACACACACAAATTCAAACAATTCATTCAAACAAATCAAAGTTTAAAGTCAAATATAAAGCAAATCATTGAAGAGACAAATGGAAAAAATAATTTGGTCATTTCAGTCCCAATAATTATGGTATCTTATCAAGTGATAATAAATAATAGTGATAATAAAAAACTAAATATTCTTATGAGGGCTGTACATCATCGAGATCTATTAGGTTGTGCCCTGGGGAAGCGCATTAATATTAACAAATAAATAAGGTCTTTCATCATTGGCCTCATATCTCCCTTTTTTCTGTTTCACAATCAGATATGAAGAGCACCTGATCCTGTTTCTTCTGTGATCGAGCGAACACTGCCAAGTTTTATCCATTATAAATCTAAAGTACTTGAATGTTCTGGCAGAAAACATTTAACTTTATTTATCTCCGCTTGCAGATGTCGGCTACAGCAGACAGTGTATTGCTGCAGCAAACTGCGAAGAATTGTTGGCTGTGGGGCAGGTCAGTTGTACAGTGGACACAGCTCTCAGTGAAATCGCTGGAAGCAAACATTGACCAGTTCATATTCAATCAATCTCTCCCTCGCACAAATGGCAGCCAGTAGCACACACACAGGGTATGATCTCATATGCAAAAGACAATGTCTCTATAAATACACGCGCCCCGCTGATCGATTCTAATACAATGGTTATAATGCACTATTTATAGATTAGTTTTTTTTTATTTCATCTATGACAATTATGTGGCTGACAATAGACTAACAATTGGCTAGTGCTTGGAGCGCACTTTTTCTGTCTCATTTCTGCCGGCATGTCCCAGATCAGTGGTGACACACGAAGCATGGGTGATATAAAACATTAATTCTCATTTGTAAATTGGTACTACAAAGTTTAGCAATCAAATCAAATGTATTTTTTGGATCTAATAAAAATTACGTGTTACAGCCTATGTAATCCCTCATATACTGCATGGTTTTGAATTATGTCATGAGTAATTACACTGACACAAACAAACAGGATACATAAAAACACATATCATTTGTAAAATAGGCGCTTACTTCAGTTCAAGTTTCTTTACCTGGCGAAATAGCACTACACTCTGCTTGACTGGGCCCCATTGTGGCTTAGTCAATCCATCATTGGACCTAACTGTCTTTCTTTTGGCCTTGTTAACTTAAAGGCACACCGCGGACTTTGTGACCTAAAGAGTTGACACATATGAGTTATTTTATATGAATACTTGGGCCAATATACAGCGCTTGACACTTGCAATGCTCCGAGCGGGGCTGCCCTCTTGAAATACCGCCCATGTAAGTTTCAAGCAGACGGACCGTCTGCCACCAGGTCACGTGACTTGGAAGAAAGACTTGCTTTACGGCTACAGGCGCTGATATACTCATGGAGCTAAGGCTTTTGCTACTCATTTTTCACCTGCTCGACTCCTGGTCATGGCTGAGGCAAGGAAAAATTTTAAACCTTCGGAGGAGGCTAAAAAGAGGAAACGCGAAAGGGATCGTGCTGTAAGCTGCATGTCTGTATGAGCGCTGCTCTTCACCTGGTTCCTGGATGTCATCGACTGCAAAGATGTCATTCCACGCAGCACGAGCTAGACGCAGAACTCCCTCATCCAGGATATAGAAGTCCATGTGTGGTAGATTACTAATGCAGCGGTCTGGAGGCTGACCACAGCAGAGTCTCTCAATATCTGTAGGCATGTCTCTACAGTTTGAACACACACACCAGTGCATGCTGTCTGAATACACACTCAAAAGACACCGGCTGACTGTTTGTTGACTTTTGCGACAGTGCTGAGTTGCTTGTGGCCACTAGGGGCGCTAAACGTGAAAGTTGCAGGTCTAGCGCCCCTAGTGGCCAAGAGTTACACGGTGTGCCTTTAATGGATACAACGTTCCTGTTCCTGTCAGAAAATAGATCAGAGTTTACCGCAGTCTACTTCACGCGTGGCATCATGCATGGAAAGGACTAAAACTACTATATCTATAATCTGACCAATCAGAACCACACGACTATTTCCATGTACCAGGACCTGGCTGGCCCAGCACATGTAACTCTATTCTTATTTAATGTTGATTATTACAATATACTTGTATTATATATTTGTATGTTTTATTCCATAGATGCACATGGAACACAATTTAAAAAGCAACAATTTTGTTTTGCTCCTATTTTGTATGGGTTCTACTTGAAGCTGCAAAACATATATAGCTCAATAGGCCCTTCTTCTCAAAGCTTTGTCATTTCAAGATGATAGAATGCTGGCTAGGATAACAGGATGTTAGGTTCTGCTAAAATAGTAGATTTACATTAGGATTGATTGACCCAACTGAAGAACAAATGAGGAATTATGGAATAAAATGAGAACAAGCCCCCCCTTTCCTCTCTCTCTCTCTCTCTCTCACTCTCTTGTATGATTAAACTAATAACCAATAACCTTCATACTGCCTTGTTTACAATAAGTTAACATATACCGCAACAAGAAAGCATTGAAGTTACTTAATAGGAGAAAACTAATAAACAGGCGCAATGGTGACGTGAGAAAAGCTTACCTTTGACCCGCAGCAGTAGGAGGATGATCAACCAATCAGGGCGCGCCTTGTTGGGACGTGCTCAGGATTTACCACAGAGGCGACCGTCAACATGGTGAGTGTTCAACCATTCAAAGGAATAGTGTGACTAAAGGGCAGATTAAATCATTAAAAACAACAGTAAACTTGGCAATTGTGTTAAAATGGCCAGTTATATGGTGCTGTGGTGACTGTGTGACTATATTTGATGTAGGCAAAGTAATAATAGCGATTAGCATCGTTAGCCCCAAGCTAGCGGCACACACAAGGCTGAGTGGTCATCTTCTACGACTAAATCTAGTGTGATTTAGAAGCATGCTTGTGTATATGAAACGTGGTGGTTAATAATGCAGATCGTATGTATTATTACTTTGTCACTGACTTTGTTATAATGGAGATAATTTAAGGAAACAAAAGGCAGCTTTAGCTAAACTACATTTATGTTGTTAAATCTGAAAATACTTTCACACTTGTTCGAAGGCCACTCAAAGTCTTTTAAACTTGAAATTATAGTTGAGTTTGCCACAAAATGCTTCATTAACCCTGTGGCCGTCTCTTATTTATGACAGTCTTCCTCAGAGGCTAATAATGGCCCGAGCCAAGCGCCACCTTACGCAGGTGTACCGCCCTCGGGGATGCCTCCACCGTTTGTAAGTCTGTCTAACAATAACAGTCTGCCACAAGCTATTACAAAGTATTAGTATAATGCTCGTTGCTTTCCTCAGCAGTATACACTGGAGGCCTCCTTGCAGTTCTCCTAATTCTGGCTTTATTTGATCTTTGTAGATGGGACCACCGGGAATGCCCACTCACTTCCCTCCAATGGGGATTCCTCCAATGGGACAGGGGCCTCCTAGTATGACCCCTATGCCTCCAGGAATCATCCCTCCTGGTATCATGCCCCCTATGGGAGCCCCACCCATGGGGCAGGTGAGTAAAGATACTAATCATTTGCGTGAAATTAATTTGAGTGATACACCATACAACACCAAAAACTAATACAAATTATAGCCATTTCCTCCATAGAAAAGATATCACCTCAATTAAAATGGCTGGATCTGTGCTCCTTTCCCTTGGACCCTGCATCCCCCCACCCATGCAGACCAGCTCACAGTCTCAGCCCACTTTGTGACTTAGCCTCACGCCGTGGGGTTTGAGTGAACTTTTTTCCAACACCGAACCGTCACAATGAACCCTATGTTCTTAATCTAGAATCAGACCCTAATTATTTAGTTAACAGTGGTATACAGCAAATTAGTAATAACTATTTTGGGCATGTGTATGAAGACCAATAGCAAAGGCGAAAAGCATAATATAGGACCTTTTTAAAATATATAATATTATAATATGCTATAATATAGTACAGTTGTATGGTTATGAATGTTGAGTCGAGAGCTACATTCTACTGCTTTCTTTTAATACTTAATTATTTTGTTTAATAGTTAGTCGTTCATCTTAATAAGCGACCCTGCAGCCTATAGCAAGTATGTATTTTATGTTGTGAGGGCGACAGTAGCTCAGTTGGTAGAGAATTGGCCTTTGAGGCTAAAGGTTGTGGGTTCAAGCCCACCATGGAACCTTCTCCACCGACTCCCACTGAAGTCTGCTGTCGGTGTGTCCTTGGGCAAGACACTTAACCCCACATGGCCTGAAGGCCCCGCTGAAAAATCAAGGCTGTATTGTCACTGACGGAGCAGCCATCCTCCTGTGGACTTACCACCTGCAGCAGGATCAGTGAGGGGCTGGTGCTTTGTGAATTGGATGCAGCTTTGACTGCCACCCCCCCAACCCAGAAATGGACTAAGGGGAAGAAGATGGATGGAAGATTTAGGCTTTTTTGAGAATTTATAGAGTGATTTTTAGTAACGCATATTTATGGTCAAAATAGATTGGTAAATTAGTCATGAAAGTTTACAGTCAAGGTAAGCATGCTAACTTGAACAGTTTGTTAATACACCTCATCATAGACCATGTTGTGACCACTTAACACAGTTGTCTTATCAGCTTTGTTTTGCTCCATCAGCTGTCAAATCTCTGTTACATTACAACCTGAAAACCTGTGGCTTATATTCAAGTGCGGCCTGTATGTGGACAAAGCTGCCTCTCAAGAATGAGGGAGAAATATTGCTCTTTAACTAAAGCTTGAGGGAATAAGAGATCCTTTATTCCCTCAATCGATGAATAAACTACTTTTGGCATGTGTATAAAGGCCAAATAGCACTATAATGATGTAAAATGTACAGTGTATAGGCGCTTATTAGTCCAGCAAGTACTGTCCTATCTACCAAATGCAACACGTGCTAAGAATTGATACAAAATTGATATTAAACAAATAAAAAACATATACACTTTGTGCATGGATCTGGCTCTGTGCATCTAGTTTTGCACACATTATGAAGTTCTTACATTTAAGAAAATATAAATGAACATGGAACAAAGTAATGCAATTTCTGTAACCTGTAACGTGAATTACAATAAATGCAATACAGTGAATACACCAAAATGGAAAATGTTAAATATTTTATGCATTGTGAATTGTGGGTCTTGCTGATCCAGCGCTGAGGTGGGAAGAGCCAAACTTAGAACTCTAAATCAAGCTTAAAGGTATTTAAGGAGATGTTTGTACCAATTAAAAATAATGAGTGCGCCAATAATTGGTGTAGCTCTACCTCAGTCAGTCGTTGTGCTCAATACCAGTCACGCATCCCGTTTTCCCATGCTAGTGCATGTCTGTTTTTCTAGCCGTTTTAATGCTATTTTTTTCGTGGAAATTGGAGAAGTGGATAGTGGGTCTCAAGGTAGCTAAGATGATGTAGAAGACGGTAGATGACCAAAATAAAACTACAGCGGCCCTGTGTAAAACACATTTTGTGCAATGTAAGTTGAGACCAAGGTGCGATCAAAGTCCCTTAAAGGCGTTAACTTTGGTATGATGCTTTTAGCGATAGCATCCCACAGTGAATAAGTATGAACCTCTTTTTGCTCCTGGGCTAGAGCTTCTCACACCGTCAGCCTCATGCTGTGCTTATGTGCCTCTGCCACAACTCTGAGCTATGGAAATGTCAGATGAATATTTCATGATTGTTCTTTTCTTAGATGCCAGGCATGATGCCACCTATGATGCCAGGAATGATGATGCAGCGGATGCCCGCTGCGACAGTGCAAGCTGCAGGACCGGTGAGTCTCTACACATGACTTACAACTTTTCAGAGTTGTTGCTTGCCCACACATCCCAAAATACTCACCATGCTGCGAAAACAGCCAGTCATGTACTTTTGGACTCTGGACTTTTCATTTGGATTTTAATGTATCGTATTTGTATTGCTGGGCGATGTTCATCCTGAAGATGTTACATTTTCTTTCCTATAGATTGTACACAAAGCCCAATCTAATTATTCAATTTCAGTTTTACAAGCGGTTGAAATGAGTTTCCTCTGCAGAATGGCTGGGCGCTCCCTTGGAGATGGGGTGAGAAGCTCAGTCACACAGGAGGAGCTCAGAGTAGAGCCGCTGCTTCTCCATGTCGAGAGGAGGCAGTTTAGGTGGCTCAGGCATGTGTTCCAGTATTTCCTCCCCTTGATGAGCTGGAGGAAGTGTGTGTGGAGAGGGAAGTCTGCTTAGACTGCTGTCCTCGCGAAACAGCAACAGATAAAGCAGATGAAAATGGATGGACAGTTTTGCAAATGAGCAGCTGAAATATTTAACTTGACAGCCCCCAGACAGAAAGCATATTTTAGCATTGTTTGAGCTCGGTGGTGTGTGGCAATTAGGGAAACGTCTACCAATCTGTCTTTTGTGTTAATTTACTTGTTATGTGTGGTAAACCATAAATCAAATCTATAAAACTTGTTTGCTTTTTGGTTTTCCTTACAGCCGGGAGTTGAAGGTGCAGGTAAGAATGGTCATAATTTCTTATGAAAAACATAAATGTGTTTTTAAATATGTAACAAAATGTGTGGATTTCTTGTAGCTGCTGCACCTGGAACAGTGGTAAGATTTACACTTCAATCTTCACTCAAACTTGAATATCTTGAACCATGATTCTTAAATTTACATTGTCTTCTAGAGTGCAACAAACGGTTCTCCGCCTGAAGAATCTGCAAAGAAGGTATGTGTTTGCCAAAAATAATAGGCATTCACTAATATCACTTTTTTTTAAAACCGGTACGAGAGCCTTCACTTGCCGATACAAGTTCTGCATTGTGTTATCCCTGGGAATTCATGAATCAGAATCAGAATCATTTTTATTGCCACGTAAGTAACAGGTCGTCACAGAATTGGAAACTAATGCAACTGAAATTTAAAATGTTTTTTTTTCTCATTTTTACAATAAGAAGTTGCTTTAACAAGTAAACATTTTAGCAATTGTTTTAACAGTCAACAATAAGAGCCAGTGTCATATTCCACTCGTACAAATTACAAACAGAGTAACATAGACGTCGGAACTATTTTCTGAGAGGGGGGGCGGGTTTTTGTTGGGAGAGTCGAGGGAGAGACTCATACTTGGATTACACTGGATAAAAACATACCATCTTAATTGTTAAGAAAAACAAAATAAACAATATATATCAAGCAAGTCACTTATCAAACTGAACTTTTTTTTTTTCAATACGCATTCATGCGTCAGTCTCTCCGGTGGCTTCATTGTGTTGTGTAGCCCAGTGACGTGCGGTCAGATGAGGCAGGCAAGGCCCTCACCTAAGATCATAGAAAGAAAAGTAATAAAATGGATACAATAATGTTTGGTCACTTTATCAAGTGATTTGTGCTGTGCCTTATTTCATTTATTTATACCTTGAAATTGCAGATTTGACAGAGCGGCGCTGTGAGGCAGCCTCTCTTGGGAGACGTAAAAAGCAACAGCTCACAGGGAGAGTCCTGTGAGGTGCTATCAAACTGTTTTCTCTGTTTATCACAGTTTAAAAAGTTCAAAAATATTTAATTTACAATCAACATGTTTACATTTAAGAGGATGGCTCATAAATTGTGTTTTTGAAGCAAATATGGGTCTTAATCGCGCTCAACCACAGCTTGTAAGTGAGGAAAGCCTCAAGGGGGCGCTTGTGAGCCCAAACTTTGGCTGCATCCAATTCCATCAGAAAGCTCCTTTCTTGTTCTTCTTCTGCTAAGGGCAGCTACAGGTTTGGCTAACATACCTATAATACATTTTAAGATAATTTAAAATGCACTTAGAGTAATGTTTTGCTTCCAATGATGATATGAATCATAAGAAAAGGAGGTGAAGGGTAAGGTTGAATTTAGAAATTGGATTTACCCGGGAGTCGGCTGCAGCAAAACTCGGAGTTTACGGAGGAGACACCCGTTTATTTTACTTTTTAAAACTCATTGAACTTATTTCCAAATGGAGGATTACATGTCTGTGCTCAAACTATTATCTGGACTTAAACATGAAACTGGTCCTAACTGAAGTGGTCTGTGCTGTTCATTAATACCTAAGGTAAGGCCCATAACACACTTTGTACTTTTTTACAAACGTTTGCGTTTTGTATGAGAAAACAATGCAGACATTAAATCATATTCTGCTGTAGCCAAACAAATTGTGTATAATCCGCTCCTGTTCCTGTAGGTCCTGTTGGTTTATATGATGTATAATCATATGAACACATGATTGATCCCCCACCGCACGTCACTGGTGTAGCCAGGTCTCTAATCTGCGCAAGGCTGAGAAAGAGCGCTCAGAGGCTGCGACAGATATTAGCCAGACAGAGCTTCATAAGCTTCTCCGACAGCATGGAGCGGGTTTTGGGCTGCAAGGAACGCAGGATAGTGATAACTTCTCGCTCCCGGCACACGCGGAGGGGGTGCGGCCGCACCCCCCGCACCCCTAGTTCCGACGTCTATGCAGAGTAACCTTTGCGCGCTCCGGTGCTAGCCAAGGTTACTCTGCATGGTGGTAAGTTTTATCAAGTTGCTGGTGTTCTACGTGTTTGATTGGACCCACCTCATGACAGGCCTTACACAATGTACAGTCCGCTTTACTCTTGTCACTCTCGTTTACTTAAAAAAACTGCCTTACGGCCGACATCCTGTCCGCTTCCCGCTAGCCGGCTTTCTCGCTGCCGACTTGCCTAGCACCTGTATCGGTGCATCTCTAAAAACTAATATTCTAATTTTGAATGTCCATTTACACTGTTCCTCTTTTGTCCTCTATAGAAGTCTGTGTGGACAGAGCACAAGTCGCTGGATGGAAAGACGTACTATTATAATACAGAGACCAAGGAGTCCATTTGGGAGAAGCCAGATGAGCTCAAGTCACCTGCTGAGGTTCAAATCTTTGTCTCTTTATGTTGCCTTCTCTAACTTACAAACACACCCTATGTATGTGGCAATGGCCAAAAATAGGATTGATTCTATTGAAGAGCACATCTATTGAAATCTATGTGCTTTGTATGAACTGTTCCATATTTGTTTGTTGTATCATGGTCTTCATACATTTTTCATGTTGGTGAAAGGTCTGTGAAATGCCCCTGCGTACAGAGGGAGAAAAGTCATGCAGTGGCACAGCTGCTTAGTTTATTGGTATCTTGACTAACTTTTAGTGTCTCACCTCTAAGCTAAATTTTTTTCAGCGAATCCTTTAACAATTCATATTTTATTTAGAATTTGATTTAACATGTATTATTTTAATTTAATCAATGATCATTTGAAACAATTAAGAAGTGCTTCTCTACGTATATTGCAGAGTATGCTCTCCAAATGTCCATGGAAAGAGTACAAGTCGGACACAGGGAAGCCGTATTACTACAACTCTCAAACGAAAGAATCCCGATGGACCAAGCCTAAAGATCTGGAGGATCTTGAAGGTAGCGATGTTTTCACTACTTCTATAATTCATTCATGGTGCTGGCTGTTGCAGCATCATAAAAGGCAGATTGGTGCGTGTTGTCCGTGCCATCACGCTTGTACATGGAGGCTTCGTGGTTATATTTGTCTCTGCCGTGTGTGAGCGTACCCTGACAGACTTGTCCTTTTGTTTATTCCAGCTATGATCAAAGCAGAGGAGAACGGGTAAGAGATTTGTTTGGCTCCACTACAATGCATTATGTGTGAACTTATAAACAAGAAGGATATGGAGGTGCATGACATGAATATTGTGTTAATCTAATATTTTTAAATTCATCAAATATTCATATATATATTATTATCTTCAAAGGTGCACAATATAGCAAACGTTCTATTCCATTTTTATTGATAGTAGACCTTTTAACTAATCTTTGCTAAATCCCTTTTTGTGTTTTTAAAGGTAAATTTTCCAAACTGGGGTGTAGATATGTATATCCAACTTGTTCACATCTGCCACAAATCCATCAGAAAATTATTATAACTTGTTTAAATATTTAGCCAGTCACAATACATTTTGATGGTAGTATATGAACTACCTTCATGCCACTCATTTACAAATTGACAACAAAATCCCAGTAATGTAATTCTTTGTGTGTAACTGATATTTTTTGCCACAATTATTGCCTATTGTGTGGGAAAGTAGAATTTACAAAATGATTTTAAAGAAAATGTAGGTACCCCAGCCTTAATTGTAGTGTCTAATTGTTTTGTGGGATTCAAATTTTTTTTTTTTTTTTTCAGGACGTCAGAGGTAGGTCCCAGCATCAGTGTGGCTCCGGTGATGCAGTCTGTCCCAGTCGCACCCATGGTGACGGGGGCTGAGATGGAGAGCGCCGTTCAGGTCTCAGTGGAGCCGCAGTCCCTCAGCGTCACACCTCACACAGACGCAGCTGTAGCAGAGATCACCACCGCAGCTGAGGCCAACCCCAGGTGAGCGCGCTTACACGTGTCACTAGCCTGTCTGGTCCACTGCAGTTAGAACATTTTTTACTCCAGATTTGTGTTGTCTTTAGTGCTGAGCCACCAAAAGAGGAACGACCTGAGCTCCAGAAGAAAACCTACAAATGGAACACAAAGGAAGAGGCCAAGCAGGCTTTCAAAGAACTGCTTAAAGAGAAAGTGAGTCTGAGGTCCTCAACAAACTAATACATGTTCTCAAACATTTGGAATACAAAAAATGCAAAAGGTGTTTCTTTTTGAAAAAGTAATACTGCTATGAACCATCTCCAGAACTCTGCTTGGCAGCTGAAACAAAGGAATAGTTCAAAGTAAAATTAACATTCTAAAACAAGATGTAAAAATGACTTTAGTCCTTAGTTTTGGTTGTCTATTTTCAGAAGTGATGCCCTTTAATGTACCCTGCCCTCAGTACTGGGGGGGTCCATATGGACTCCCATGGACTACCGCCTTACTGTGGTGTTGCCTGGGGCTTTATGTTGCTGTAGGGTCTCTCATGGCTACCCACCCTGGATCCAGGCCTGGGGGCTTGTGAGTGAGTGCTGTGGGATCCGCAACCGCACAGGGTTTCTTGCTGAGACAATGTAGTACTGAAACTTAAGGTCAAACTGTTCAGACCGTGACCCCCAAAAGAACCATTCAACCTAACACTTTTAGTCAGTCAGTAGTAACCCAATAAATAAAAGGTAATTTTTTTGGTAACATGGTGCTTCGTGACAGCACTTAAAATAATGAGCTGTTGCAAAAATATTTGAGGCTGAGTAGTTTATTCGCTCTTTCCCAACAGCCTTCAGGAGACGGCCCCAGGTAAAGTCGTGCCCTGTTGCCGTGGTACTCCAGGGGCCGAGTCACAGTTGCCCCACCCACTTCAAGGTCTATATTTAGGCCATTTTAATTTTGTGCACAAAGCGGTCCTCGTGAGATTGCTCGCCATTTCCTGTGCTCCTCTAATGGCAGTGTCTTTATGATTAGCTCCATTGGATCAAAGGTCCAGGATTAAAATGGAGAAAGAGGCACGGCTGAGTGAGTTTGAGCAAGTGTGACGGCGCTTTTGCAAAAGGCTTTTGTCAACTCAACATCTTACGTCTTTATATTTTACATTCGTTTTTTTATCTTTGGTATATGATTGTATTAGATGCCTCAAAAACATGTCTGTTTTTTATTGTGAAGTCCTTGTGTTGAGGGAGAAATGTCTTCATATAACACTTGTGTGCAGCTTTAATCCAATATTTCAGCAATATCAGTTTTAAATGGCTACTTGATACGTCTATCCATGCCCATACTTAAAATGAATGAGTGAGTAGAAAATTGGGTTTCAAAATGATGGTTACATTTAAAGAGTGCCATTTCTATTATAGAATATGGAAATGCTGTTTAGAAACACAAAGTTGGTTCTAAAATCCCTTTGACTCGCAATTGTAGTTTGTATGATGCTTTTTATTTGTGGCGAGTCACATATTTAATTCTTTGCTTCCGTCATTGCAGGGGGTTTCCTCTAACTCCTCCTGGGAACAGGCCATGAAACTCATCATCAACGACCCACGCTACAGGTGAGCCGTTTTCTCACGTTACTCAATGTTATATTCTGCTGTTAAAATGATGTACTCTGTGACCAAATGTTAGTGCTGCGTATGCTGATCCAATTTGTCTGATGTGGCAGAACACTAAATAAGAAAAACCCAATATATCCACAATATTCTTATAAATAAAGGTAAATAATAATTACTTTTAACCGTCTAAATTTTGTCATCTAATCCTGTCACATTTTAAAATTCTGAATAAATTTGTAATTGTAATTACATTAGCTGATTCTTTAAAAAGCACAAAGAAACATGGATCTACATGTATCTGCTATAATGAAATATAATGGCTATAAAGGCTCAAATGTGAAAAAAATAACATGCTTAGTACTGTTTTTTTTCACTTTTTCCTTTTCTACATGAACCCAGCGCTCTTCCTAAACTGAGCGAGAAGAAGCAGGCCTTTAATGCCTACAAAGTCCAGACGGAGAAGGAGGAGAAGGAAGAGGCCAGGATCAAATATAAGGAATCCAAAGAGACATTTCAGAGATTCCTGGAGAATCATGAGAAGATGACTTCCAACACCAGATACAAGTGAGCGCCTCTCTTCTTGTATCGACTCACTGTTTCCTGGACTGTCGTTGGGAATTATGTGGATGGGATCAGAGTAAGGTCGTGTATTAACCAGTTCACGCCATCAGCTGTTGTGAGGCGCTGCTGCTGTGTGATGATGATGATGTAACAGCGATGGAGCGTGGGTTTAAAATAGAACGGCGTTGTATGATTCTAGTGCATTATTTATTCAACTGGTGGTTGTGTTCTAAGTAGCATGAATTAGTTGATATGTGCGTACTGGAACAGATGTAGAGATGGAATATAGAAGAGGAGATAAAGCTTTTGTGTCAGTGGTCGTGTAACATTGGGAGTAGCATGCGTGATAATGGGTTACATTTTTGCATTGTCTGAACTCTCATGTGTGGTCGCACAGGCTTGTCTGCCATTATTGATCAACAGAATGAATTAAAGTTTTAAAATACAGTTAAAAATTATACTGAAAGTCAAAAGTTGGCCGATGAGTGTTCAATACTTAAAACATTTGAGTCTTGTCCAGCAGACTGGGTGAAACAATAATGATACAACTCAGAAGACACAACAACTCTGCTCCACAACACAACAGCCGGCCAACCCTCACATTGTAACACAGTTCTAATTACTGAATATATGCCTAAATAGTTAACTTTATTTAGGTAAAAATGTTGACACCAATATTTTCACGATTATTGTAAATTGATATTCAATAGTGCTGTAAAAATTTATCTAATGACAAAACACACAAACATTTTAGATATATTTGTATATCTGGTTGGACACATTATGTGTCTCCACAATTTCACCTTCTACCAACCAAAATTACTACTTCCAGACATGGATTTTTAAATGTTTTGGGCTTAAAATACGTACTCCGCTGCGGTTGAGTTGGACTCTGCACCTTCTGCCATTTTCCGTGTGCAGTGACGTGACCTTGACCCCCGTTGAGCAGACAGGCAAAGCAGCCCACACAGCAGGCTGCAGCGATGGTTTCACTGGTGCAAAAATATGTAATGTTTCTACTGTATCTTTGTAGTAAACTAAACTGAAAATGTAGATCAGAACCACATGCATACAGAGGGCAGCCGCAGCCTCTCCTCTCTGTAAAAGTATTTAAAAATAATTTTGAGTATTAGTTGTCAGCCCTAGTCAAAACTATATAAGGATTGTTAGACTCCTTGACCTCTTAATTATTGGTATCGTTATATCTGCACTTAAAGATTTATTAGTTAATGTCCATGCATGATCGAATACTTTTCCTCATCAATAGTGGTCTTACATTAGGGGTGTCAAACCAGTCCTCAAAGGGCCGGGGTGGCTACAGGTTTTAGTTCCAAGCCGAGCAAGGAAGCACCAGACTCTACCCATTTCCTCCTGAAGTTTTAACCTGAAGATTTGAGGAAATGGACTGCACGTGCTACTCAAGTGCAGTTGTCATCTATTGGATGCACTTTAGGGAAGATACATGGATTGTTTTGAGAGATTTTTTGCATATCTTCAGCCTCAGCCCTTGCTCCAAATGTGTCCTTTTACATTATTCGGCCTGCACAAGCGGATTAAGTTGAATGGACGTTTCTCTTCATTTGATGGATGAAGGACAGACAGGCAAACAGAAGCCTGAACTTTGGCTCCTTCTTGACTGTCCCCGTGCTGGTGTCATTTTGGTGCCTCTAAACTGGGGCAGGACACGGCAGAGTCACAAAAGGCTCTTTACTTTTTAATCAGCTACTTTCCCCCCCGTTAGACCCGACCCGTGCCCTCTGCTGAACGTCTAGACTGTCAAATGAATTATTCCAGAAGCACATCTAACGCTAACATTTAGACTTTTTTTTTTTTTTTTTTTATAAATTGGAGTTTACATAAAAGCTGCTGTAGCGTGCAGCCTGTGGAACACTACCCTCCAGTGGGCTCCTGAGTATACACATTGTTAATAAAATGTTTTGTTTGTCAGGAAAGCGGAGCAGATGTTCGCTGAGCAGGAGGTGTGGAGCTGTGTGCCCGAGAGAGACCGACTGGAGATCTACGAGGACGTGCTCTTTTATCTCGCCAAGAAAGAAAAGGCAAGGAGATTCCACTTGGCGCTAAGGCTAAGACGCATGAGCCCTCATATGCAGCTTGATTGTTTATGCCATACATTTTATACTCTCTTTGACATTTTACAGTTGACTTAGAAAAACTTATACATCATCGAATTCTTACACTGTGAAACCCTTGTGTTTACGTTTCTGAACTGCCAGAAGATCACACAAGGAATCAAACTGCTGCTCTCCGTCGTGTATCTCTGTCGCAAACACTGACCCCTTATTACATCCTCCAGTTCTGATAATCCTGGTGAAGCCTTAGGGTTAGGGTCACACCTTCATTGTGTGTGTATTTATGAGCGCCTCTACCTCACGGAAACTCCACAACTGTTTTTTTTGATGAGTCTTTCCTGCTTTACATGAGGTCTACCAGAGAATCCATCAGCGACACATGCAAGCCGCAGATGGACACACACATAGTAGTTGCATTAATGGCGGAATGTCAAACTCAGGCCCGTGAGACAATTTTAAGTGGCCCCTAAAAATGATTTGTCGGTTATCTTAATCGCTGTAACTTTGATTGATGGCATTGATTTTTTCTTTTTTACTATTAGTCTTCCAATACATCTCTTATTCATATCTGCCCCAGTTGTAGTCGAATCCAAACCTACTAGAAAATAATATCCAAACTTATGTCAAATGCAATTTTTATCTTTTATTCTGACACAGGAACAAGCAAAGCAGCTGCGCAAGAGGAACTGGGAGGCTCTGAAGAACATCCTGGACAACATGGCTAACGTGACGTACCGCACCACATGGTCCGAGGCCCAGCAGTACCTCCTGGACAACCCCACCTTCGCTGAGGACGAGGAGCTGCAGAGTAGGACCCTGGATCATGTGACACGCACCACTCTGGGCACCACGCCGTAACGGTCTCATTTGAACTCCGCAGATATGGACAAGGAGGACGCCCTGATCTGTTTTGAGGAGCACATCAGAGCTCTGGAGAAAGAGGAGGAGGAGGAGAAGCAGAAGACGCTGCTCAGAGAGAGGAGGCGGCAGCGCAAGAACAGGGAGTGTTTTCAGGTAATGCAAAACATTTAATTGTATTTTTTGTGTGTAGATTCCAAACGGGGTGACAGTAGCTCAGTTGGTAGAGCATTGGCCTTTGAGCTTGAAGGTTGTAGGTTCGAGCCCACCATGAGACGCCGTTGTGTCCTTGTGCAAGACACTTAACCCCACTTTGCCTGAAGCCCCCACTGAAAGATCAAGGCTCCTGTGGACTCACCACCTGCAGGAGGATCAGTGAGGGGCTCGTACTAAGTGTACTGGGTGCTGCTCTGACTGTCACCCCCCTGACCCAGAAATGGATTAAGGGGTAGAAAATGGATGGATGGAGATTCCTATCGTATTTTATAGATTAATCAACTAATTGCAACTAAACAATGATTTTTTTAAATGATCAACTGTTTTGGACAATGTTAACTTCTCTATTTACAGACACCAACCTGTGAAAGTTCTGTGAGATGTGATTTCCGAGGCATTATAATAACTACATTTAATTGTAAAAAATGTTGTCTGGAAACATCTATTTGAATATCCTCCAGCAGCTTCCCTTCAACATTATCATTCTCAAATAAAATAAAAAAAACTGCATAATAATGTAACAATTGCTAGATCAGTCAGCTACCAAAGTAATTGCTGGATGCAGATCTAGTTATGATTAGTAGGAAATCATAGTTATGTATTAATAATGAACAATAAGTCTATATTGTAATGATTTTCATAAATGTTTTATTAAATCACCATAGAAAAACAACTGTCTAATTTTCCATCCTTTTTAACTGGCCAAGCAACTTAAACTTTAAACTGAATCTTTTTGTGAATAATTCTGATGGTGATTTTTCTTCTTTCAGAAATTCCTGGACGAGCTCCACGATCACGGGCAGCTTCACTCCATGTCTGCCTGGATGGAAATGTACCCGACCCTGAGTTCAGACATCCGCTTCGCCAATATGCTGGGCCAGCCGGGTACGCCAGCAGAGACCCCCCTCACCCCCCTCACCCCTCTCCCCCCTTCTCCCTCTGGCTCCTCAGAGACTGCTCACAACACTGTTTGAATCCATATTTCAGGGCCTTGAGTCGGGCACACCACACTGAGCACCGGTTATGTGTCCACATGTTTAATTCAAATGCATTTTCTGTCCAGGCTCCACTCCTCTGGACCTGTTCAAGTTCTACGTGGAGGATCTGAAGGCGCGCTACCACGACGAGAAGAGGATTATCAAAGACATCCTCAAGGTTGTGTCAGAGCTCATGAAGTCCCCTCAGACGGCTTGTTCTAATCTGCTTGTTTCCCTGGATCCCTCTTATTAGGATTATTATATTTTCTTATAAATTAAATAGGCCCTTTATGAAAAACTGCAAATAATATTGTAATTTTCTCGTTTCATTATGTACTTTTGAGTAATTTGCATATTCCTGTTTCAATTATTATTCTACAGCAACATTTACACGTCGATTATTCTTACATTTTGACTAGCTCCTTACAATGGAGTGCCAGATTTTCGGCATGAATGAACTCACTGACTGGCAGCCGTTTTTGAGGATTTCACTGACTTTCAAGAGCCACAGATTGTGTGCTGTGACTACGAAAAATATGAAACCAGATTTTGAAAGATTGGACCGTCATTTCATCAGCAAAAATATGTTGGTGATCTTCAGTCGAAATAGAGAAAAGTTTGACAGAAATCACCAGTCTTAGCCAAATACGTCCCTGGCAGTCAATGAATTAATTTCAGTTTATTTGTTGACATGTATTCTCAGTTGGATAGCTTCAAAAAGGCCTGTGTGCAGTTATGATACCGATGTCATTCTATTTCCTATAGGACAAAAATTTCCTGGTCGAAGTCAACACGAGTTTCGACGACTTTGGCTCCGTCATCAGCTCGGACAAAAGGGCCACAACGCTGGACGCAGGCAACATCAAACTGGCCTTCAACAGCGTACGCCTCCCCCGCTACCATTTGTCCTTATTATTACTGTTATATATTTGTCTGACATTGTTTTGTTTTGGTGCACAGTTACTGGAGAAGGCCGAGGCCAGAGAGAGGGAGCGAGAGAAGGAGGAGGCGCGGAAGATGAAGAGGAAAGAGGCTGCGTTCAAGACCATGCTGAAACAGTCCACACCTTCTCTGGAGCCCGAGGCCACGTGGGAGGGGGTACGTGCTCACGCGGCCGGAAATCATTTACCCAATATTTTCATTCTTTCGCTTCTCAAACTGGCAATGTGTACGTTTTATGTTACTGAGCACTGGTTATCTTTCTGTTACATTGACTGATTTTGACCTTTTTAAACAGCCTCAAAACTAATTTATTCAGACTGGCTTTTCCTTTACCACTCATTAGCAAAGTAACACCTTTCATAATGATTTCTAATTTCTTTTCTTTCTTTTTTTCGGATTGCATGAGTGATTTTATTATGAAGCACTTTGGTTACCCTAGAGTGTTGTAAAGGACTCTCTAAATAAAATTGATTTGATTGACATTGTATATATATTTATAAGCCACCTTGAATATTTTTTATAGAAACTTAAATTTTTCAGGTTTTTTGGTCTCTGTCACATCTTATCGTCAATCTTTTCAGGCGGTGAAAACGTCAGGACCCCCGTCTGTTCCTTGCCATGCTGTTTGAACTCCGCCGCACTGTAGAATGATCCGCAACATGTTTTTTTTTCTCTCTCGGCCACAGGTCAGGGAGCGGTTCCTGAAGGAGTCCGCCTTTGAGGACATCACCCTGGAGTCCGAGAGGAAGCGAATATTCAAAGACTTCATGCACGTGCTGGAGGTACAACAGCCGCTGGTGCTACGGCGACACGTGCACTGTTCCCATGTTCCGACTGTTTAATCACCTCTGCTCTCGCCACAGCACGAGTGTCAGCACCACCACTCCAAGGCCAAGAAGCACTCGAAGAAGTCCAAGAAGCACCACCGCAAACGCTCTCGCTCCCGATCGGTCAGTGCCCTTCACTTTTGAACCAGGTTTTCAAAATATGCCGTGATATAAATGTTTTGCGCTTTAATTATTATTTTATATGATTATTCTTTTGATTCATTTATTAGTTGTTTAGATCCTGAAAGGTCTGTGACTATGGGCTTTTTGTTTTTGTTACATTTGACTAATAAATAAACCCTCCTTAGCATATTTTATACAATTTTTACATTCCTAGTTCACATCTTTAGGGAAACATTTAATATTTAACTATAAGACCATTATTTATCTTATCTGTTCATCTACGTGTGATGATGTTTTCCTTATGAAATGTAAGTTGCGCACCTTGAAATATTCAGTGATTCGCAATGACAATTTTCCTTTTTTAAAAGTTTTTATGCACAGTTCACCCAGAAGCAAATGAACAGTATTGTGAGTGAATCCCGTCTCTCTCCTCCCAGGGCTCTGAGTCGGAGGACGACGAGTATCACAAGAAGAAAAAGCGCTCTCAGTCAAAGTCGCCGTCGGAGCGCTCGTCCAGTGGAGAGTCTGGTGAGTGCTTTTACCCATAATGCACCTGCTCTTAGATCTGAAGTGCACTGTCTGACATCTGTGCTCGCAATAGAGAGGAGCTATAAGAAGTCCAAGAAACACAAGAAGAAGGCCAAGAAGAGACGTCACAAGTCTGTAAGTAACAATGCTTATCTCCATCAGGCGGAGGCCCATCACACATTGGATTTATTCGCTATTAAAAGGATCAACAGACTTTTGATGCTAATCCTTGACTTGCGTTGAATGCTGAGAAGATGCGGCCTCATTAGAATCAATGTGTTCAGCTCGCGGTAGACTCACAGGCTCCGGCTTGCAGTACAGAACATTCTGCAAGGGGCCGATGTGTTTTATGAACGCCAGGTCTAGGTCCAGAATATTACGAGCCAAACGAGAAGCCACATCTCACAATAGAAGAACTCCCAGTGTTATTCCAAAATAAGATCTGTGCTCTGATACTGTACCTTGTTCATTGTGTAAGGCTAAAATACAGCACACACTGGAAAAGATTGGCAGAGTTTTGCAGAAACATATGGCTTTTATTTAGTTTGTATGTCTGCATTTATTGCGTGAACTCCGAGCGAGAGCCCACATGAATTTCTTTATACTTTAACTGCCACCAGAGTGTAAAACCTGGGTGCTTTTATTTCTCCTTTTATTTTGCTATAATGTGTGAAAGTGTGTAACAAATAAGCATATTGCCTGTGTATTTTGACATTTTTTGTATATTGCCATATTTACTGGGTTGTGGCGGTCCCCAGGCTTCTCCAGAGTCTGACGGCGAGAAGAAGAGGGAGCGAGACGTGAAGAGGGAAAAAGACGACAAAGATAAAGAAAACGACAAATCCAGAAGCAAAACTCGCTCCGATTCAAAACAGAAGAGTCCTAAAAAGAAATCTGTCAAAGAAGAGGTGAGAACCCATTGAGCAGTCCTACAAACTATTTCTGTATTTGGTCTAATACTGGGTTTGTGATCAGGGCGACTGGGACACGTCCGGCAGCGAGCTGAGTGAAGGCGAGCTGGAGAAACGCAGGAGGACTTTACTGGAACAACTGGACGCACCTTGATGATGTCACAGCCTTCAGTGCTTTAAAATGCATTCACTTCAAAGCAGTAATCATTTCCCAGTTTGGCGTCCACAAGGCCTCTCCACTCGCTTTTATCTTAATGTGGTTAGTTTGAGACCAAAACATCAGGATTTCTGTTATGCCCGCTTTAAATAACTGCCTTTAGATACATTTTAGTCATGTACATGTCTCCATTGCTCTTCAAATTTAAAGTCAATGAAAATTTTCCTGCGACACCGATGATGGCCTCAATTGGAAAACCTGCTGCATTTCTGAAGGTGAATTGTGTTCAGAAGGCCCCTGTTCATATCAATAGGGTTTTATTTGTAACTTTTGTTTAGATAACTATGACAACTTACTTTCTTGTAATAAAAAAATAACAATGGAGACCTTGTTTTTGCTGTTTTGTTCAGGTCAGATTTCGTTGACAAATTGTGAATTCCCGCAAGGTAGATTCATTTATATGTATGGATAACCTAGCACACATTTTAATATGGAATTCTAATACGTTTTTTTAACCTCCACATTATACTGCTGGTGTAAGTGCATCGCATAAATTCCACTGGGAACACATTTATATAATCTATATATGCTCATGTTTGATCAAAAGAAGAAATCATTAAATTGCTCCATCGTGACTTCAGTTTAGTCCTGGTTAGGTCCATCATGATTATTATTGGCTTATTGTTCAATAACTGATGGATAAAACAAAGTATATCGGGCTCAATATTATCGTCAGCACATTTTCTTTGCGAAAGTGGATATATTATTGCTATTTTCTATGTAAAAAATTATGGGAGTTTTAGCTATAGAGGGTCCAATATGGATTAATAAGACGTTCCTGCTACAATGTATTTGCATCAGTTACCTAAAGTAGTTTCAGTATTTATCGTTTATCGCAATAACTAACAAAGCCCAAAATAATAGTGACTGGCCTAGTCCCTAGTTTAACCCATGTTGTGGCTTGAGATATTTTGAAAGGAAAACACATGTTCTTGTAATTCAACATAGTTTATTTGATCATATTTATTGAAAATCTAAATTGTTATTTGATAATAACCATAAACGGCCTAAGTATAAAACATGCCAGAGTAGAGACACGACTGAGTGAGATGAGTGGCTTTAGTGACGATAATTGCAGTCAAAACATGAGCTTCAAAGCCGAGCTCTCCACAGACAAGCTTTTAACCACCATTTTGTATTTTAAAAAACCAAAAACCATAATACATAGTTAGACTTGTTTTTTTATGACTGAACATGCTTCCTGTGTTAATAACTGACTTTGATCCATCTTCAAATGAGATCTAGTGTCCCCCCTTTATGGAGTGAGATGGTCCGGACTGTATGCTTTTGGCTTCTTATTAAATATACAAAAACAACAACATAAAAACTATAAGTTAAAATAAAACATTCAAGTTGAATAGCACAAGGCAATGTTTTACACAGTATGTACAATATTAAACCATCTGGTAATGTTAAGTAAAAAAAGTAGCAAAATATCTGTACATATAGGATGCTTTTGTGTATTCGCCATGTTTTTGAGTGACAACGTATGACACCAGCAAAAGTACACAAAGTGGTTAAATACTATACATCAAATTACAATAGGAAGTACAGACAACCTGGTAGAAGAGAAAGTATTAAATGATGTAAGAAATATCCAGTTTTAAAAGTGAAATCAGTCCATTGTTTTGCACAGCTCCTGTAAAGTCCCACATTTCAGTTTTTAGAAAGTCCAGTTTTCATTGTAGCATCTAGCCCTTTCGTTACACCTCAGATGAGATGGAACAAATGCTACAGAAGTATTTTCAGAGGAATGGTAAAGTAGTGGAATGTATAGACTAGAGATATGTTCGATGTTCAGCCTGGCCAGGAAACTGTAATGGTCCCTGTCAAATTAAGTTGCATCATGAAAAGATTCTTAAAAAAACAAAACAATATTGGGCTTTAAAATAGTCAAAATAGGGAGTAAACGTGTCCCTTTACTGCCTCCTAGTGGCCATACAGTATACATGTATTATGACAATACAGAATACAGTCTATGATTATGACCATGGATCTACACGTTTTATTGTTTTCTTCAAATATTAAATTCATCTCATGTTCATGGCATCTGCTGTAAAATAGTTTGGTTGTTTGTACTATTTTTGTTGTATATTAATATTTTTATTCAATATTCAAAGTAAACAGCACAAGTTACATCTATTTCATATAACCATGTATCTAAATTTTTGACAGCATCATGTAGTTATTATGGTATTATAATTGTCATGTTCTCTTATAAAGTTTTAGTGTTTCACCTTTTGTCCGTCTCACATCAGGTGTCTAAAGGGTTCCCGATTAAGACACAAAAATGGGACTGTGTAAGAACAATTTGCGTACTTAAAAAAATAAACTAAAATAACACTTTAAATTAAAATTGGTACCAATGTGTGTGGATTGGGCTGGTCAGGCTACATAAACTGCTTCAATACATTATCTATTATTTCTTCTGACAATCGTCCACTTTTGCATGTGGTCTTAAGTTCAAAGCCTGGTTGTAATTGTGTATTGCTCCACGTGTGACAAAAAAAAGTAGACGAACGACACATAGGCACTTGTCTTAGTCTGCGGTTCTCCCATAAACCTCTTGAGACTCTATTTGGTCCAGTCCTTCATAGAAAAAGCTCCTGCTACACCACCACACTTACGAAAAATATTTACATAATCGTCTATGGTTTCAGCTACGTTCACTTGTCCTTCGTTCAACCTTCTTTTCTCTTTCTTCTTTTATTTCCATCCGTTTTCCAACCTCCTCCTCCTCCTCATCTCCCTCGCTACATGAACACTTCCCCGTTGTTGATCGGCCGCAGGTTTTGGTCGTCGAACTTCCTCCGGACACTTCTGCGCACGGCGTCGGCCCTTCTGTACGGCTGGTTCCTCAGATCTACACAAGTTTGGAAGTGGAAAAAAAAAAGATGAGAGGGGGAACAGGTTGTGAGAGAGTAGCTCAGGATAAATGAAGCACTGGAAGCCTGACAGTACAAAGCAGCAGTAGTTCTATGGGAATAAGCCCCAGGCCCCAGTCTGCGGACATTACTCTGGAGACACATGAATTGGTCAAAATATGCCTCAAGTGTAAGCCAGATTCTATAAAATATGTAACAACTGAATGTCATTTACTTCATCATTATTTTACTATCGTCAATTGTGAGAATGAGAAAGCTGTATTTGATATTGGGGGCGCTGATGTAAAACCATTGAAGCACTTTCTGTCTTTTGTTCTGAATATAAAGAATTATGTATATTTTCTCATTTTCGATTCAAAGCTGGGGCACCTTAATTTCAAACTATAACATAATATAATCAATATGTAATAAAAATCTGTGTGCTTAGTTCCTCGCTGTCAACATCTCTATTCCTGAATCATATCATGCATGTATCGCGAGGCCTTTATCACATCTCCAGAACAGCTTTTTCAGACAGCTCAAAGCGTCAATGCAAAAGATAGTAGGTTTAAAGGGTGCAAGCTGTAGTCTACTTTGTTTAACTTTAAAACATCTGTTGGAACTTAATGTATTATTTATGAAAAAATAAGATATGTACCCCAGCTATAATGTATGTACCAGTATGCAGGTTTCAATGTTATTCTATTTTTAACATTGCATTAAAATACATTGTTTTATTCATACAGCTAATATGCCAATGGTTTGTAGAATGTGCACATTATAGCATTCAGACAAAGACAAAGCAAATACAGCATGAGCTTATGGAGCCTTTTTTTCACTACAGCAAGATAATAAACAGGTGCTTGCCAGGTTCGGGACACATCCACCACTACAGGCGAGCTACTGGAGGCCTTCCTTACCCTCGAGTAGACATTGGGGAATTTAGTTATATTATTCTTCTTTAGCGCTGGATGAAGACAAGACAGAATCAGCGTTAAGTCTGAGAACTCATTTGACATGCCGGTCTGACATAGTTCATTTTACAGCGGCATTGGCAAAGCAACATGGCAGCTTATGGGACAGGTCTAATGGGCCTGCAGCAGAATGAAGCTAACGGTGGTTATGGGGCGACTACAAGGAGCGTTTTTCATTTTGTTGAACAATACTGCTTTGCAAAGAGGCTACCAGCAGAACAGAGAAAGCACAACATCCTATACAGAAAGTTGACACCAAAGTCATGTAACACACCCAGCACATGCAAGTAACAAAAAGTGTGGTTAAGAAAACGAGTGAATATACAGGAAATCATATGAACAGTTTGAGTATTGGAGACAGGACAAGCAAATTGATTAGTGTGCGGAAAAAATGCACATGCACAAAACTGTAGATGATTTTTCTTGGTGGTGAAAGTGAGGATTGTGGGAAATAAGCAGCAAACGAAAAAGCATGCGGCAAGCTGAGCAGCGATCATAAAACATTCTTTAAAAATACACAGGCAATTTTAATGCCGCAGAGAAGTCTGGAAACAAAAGCTAGGAACGAGAATTGAAGACTTTATAATAAATACTATTCATGTCCACAAGAGGGCAGCGGTTCTGTACAGTCATTTGTTGAATCTTTTGTCTTTCATTCCATTTATTTGTCTGATGGTTAAATCGTCATTTAGAAATATATCTGGATGAGTTGAAACTACTCAAATAACTCTAAGATTTCCTTGATCTGAGCAGAAATAACTTGACCAGTAACATTGAAAGTAACTTATATCCTTCTACAGTTTTAACTTAAGACATTGTTCATTGTTCAATTCTAGATATCAATATTTAGAATTTATACCGTGAAAAGTCTTGTTTTAGACTTGGTACCTATACAGTGGTATTTGGAGTGAAAGGTTTACCAGACCCTGTTCTCCAGCTCCTCTGCGACATTACTGATAAAGGAAAAACTATAAACATGCTGAGGAAAAAAAAGAAACAACAGGTGAAAACACAGGTGACAAACTCCACTGTGTCAGATGCACTGGTCGTGTGTGTGTGTGTGTGTGTTTAGGACGGGCATGCAGGTTTGGAGGAGAAGGAAGAAACTTTATGATCCAGCAACCTTTGAGCAGAGACAGAGGCCTAAAGCTTAGTAATGGTAGTCGTCACTGAGCGGCTCACAGAAGAACCGGGAGCTGCGCTTGGCTGTGCGAGCTGTAAAGGGCACTGTCTTCAGCACTGCGAGGACAGGGACAGGACCACAGGACAAGACAAGACACACCATTAAGAGAGAGCAGATCTAAGGGTTTAGCACTGTTAAGAGATTTAAGCAAATACCCACAACACACTATAGGAACAGACAGTACTACTACCGCTAGCACACTACACACTCTATAATGGGACATGGATTGAACTACTAGCAAGGTTAGGTGTGTGATTGCGGCTATAGAACACACACTGCTTGAAATCAGACTATTATTCCAGATGTTTGTGTCCGGGAAAGATGTATTTGTCATGTCATGTGAGGATATATCGCTAGTTTGAGTTAAAGAAACGATAGCTTCATGTGTTTCCTTGTATTAAAATGCAAACTAATAAGAGAGCCTGATTTTTGTGTATTTTAACACATCGACAATCATCAAAATGCACCTCATCTACTCACTTCCATTTCCCTGTGTTCTAATAGTTGATTTGCTAATGTGTTGTTGGCAAATTGACAATTTTGCGTCAATACAAAATAAATACGTTGGATTTGAATTAGGACAATATATTTGCCAATGCGCTACGTCATTTTTTAACTGGCTTCAATAGGCTAATAAATCTATTGAAATGTGTTGAAAATGGTCCGAAATGTAGTCAAAACAACTGGAAATGCAAACTAAATCCACACAAAAGCGTATATATTTTAAGTCTACAAATACAATGCGTTGTGTAGATATATTTGTTGTAATGTAGTTGAATTTATGATTATGTATGATGTTGTTTTGGAACTTAATAGTCTAATGTGATATTACCATACCGCGCAATTTTAGTACATACAATTTGGCACAGAATATTGTCATTTGGATCAATATGGGAAAAACAATATATAATGTCATTTTTGTCCACCCCAAGTTGACATAATTAGTCGTATGACAGTTTTGCATCCTGTATAACTAGAATAAACCAATCTAAAGTATTTTTGGAACAATCTCTGCATAATTGAAGTTGTCTTGAAGTAAATAAATGCATTATTGAACAAACAGACTTCCCACATTAGCTAAGAAAGCCAGTCCTGTAAAAAGAAAGAGTGTTACGGAGCAGCAGACAGAGCAGATTGTAAAGCATTGACATCACATACATTTGAGCTCACTCCAAATGTACCGGCAGAGGCTTCCAAAGGCCAGCACATGTTAAAACACCGTCGAACATACATGACAGCTCAAAAGATTATTATTGTTAGTGGCTGTAGCGGACTTCTCTGTGTTAAATATAGAGCGACTGTTCATGCAGAGAGCCCTGTTTGCGTGAATCTGTAACTGGTCATAAATGTGTCGAAAAAGAGGAGGAATCATTAATGGTGTGTGTGTTACCCGTGATGATGTCTTCGATGGCTCCGTCTTTGCCCTCGTACACGTGCCGATTGTCTTTGACCTGCTTCTTCCTCAGCTCCTGGATCAGTTCTTGTTGCTGGTGCCTCTTGTTTTTATTTGACGGAGACTAAAAGCAAAAAAATTTATGAGCGTCAAGGAAATCCAAAAGGTTAGGTCACAATAGTTGCATTCAAGGCATTATACGTTTTTATGTATGTGTAAGCACGGTCAATGAGGGATGATGTTGGTTTGCAGCTGGTTTGAAAGAAAGAAATAACCTGCAACTCCATCCATACATTTTCTCAAACCCACGACCTTCAGGCTCAAAGGCCAGTGCTCTACCAACTGAGCCACTGTCGCCCCCTGCAACTGTTGCGATTGTTTCATTGCATAGTTGTTCTGTACCTCAGAAAGAGTCTTTTGGTGTATGCTTTGGTTGTCAGCTTTACTTCTATCTGATCACAACATAATTCAAGCGTACAATTCAGAAGATACAGAGATTCATTTATTTGCCATTTGCAGTAAAACCACATTGGAAAAACTGTGCAAGACTACCCCAGTGTGCACCAGACGACACACACCAGAGCTCTTGCTGAAGACTGTTTCTGTTGACGTAATCTTTAAATAATCTTTTTTCATGGAATTCGGGTTGTAAAATGAAGACAAGTTCTAACTAGCCAATACAGTATTACAACATGCAAAGTGCCAAAGTGGAAGACTGAAGGTAAAGCTCTGGTTTTATACAGCTCACTCAGAGTTTATTATTGTTTGGTGACATAAAAGAGTCGCACGTTTAATATCAAGTCAGCACTTTGGCAGTAAAAACAAAATGGGAGACATAACTTACCTAAGACAAAACATAACATTTATCACCTTGGGCTATAAAACAGGAGTGGTGCGCTGCAATTTTCAAGAGGCTATATATTTTTGGAATCCTTCTGAAATACGCTGTTTGTGTTTTGTAGTTTGAGTAAAGCGGTCTCAAACCTTCTGATCCTCCTCCATCATGGCCTCCTGTTCCAGAAGTTTTTCCATCAACAGCTGCTCCTGTCGCCGCTTATGCTCATTGTCCTCCTCCGCTTGCTGAGGTCGTACACAAGGACAAAAAGAATGATTATGGAATAAACATCACTTGAAGTAATCAAATCACATTTCTACAACTTAATCTGCTTCTACAACCGGACTGGTTTATGTGGATTAACTTTGACACCTAAATTAAATGTTCATCAACTTTCTAACTTCATAACAATCTAGCTACAACCATCATTGGACCTAATAAACTTATCCAATTTTCCAAACTAATCAAATTCCAAAGTTTTTACATTATAATTTGACATGAGCTTTCCAGGTTCTCTGTGGCTGCACGAACCCTTTATATTGTAAATGGCAGAATGTATTCATTATTCTTATTGGTGTTGAATCTAATGCCACAATTATCCAAATTGGATTCACTTTTTGTCACATTTATAGCGCTAAAGATCTTGAAAGGCCTCCCACCAAAATGTAATACCTTTTCAATTACTTAATTTAATTAGAAAAAATGACTGTTGGATGTTTATACAAAACATGAACCATTTTAGTTTGGGAATCTCAAGCAGTGTTTCCACGTCGAGACACGAGTATTTTGTTAAATCTTTCATATTTTTTCATGCATTTGGTCACTTTACTGTTGTACAAAGAATTCCATCTGTTTATTGCTGTGACATTTTACCAACTGTTTGCAAATATGTTACCTGACTTTTAGATTTTTATGAACAAACTTAGACTGAACCAAAATTGGACCAAAACAAGAAAGTATTTTCTTTGCTCACTAATGTGACCGATAATTATTATGAATGTGTTCTGAGTTCTATGTTTAGAATAAAATAGATATTATGGTTGTTTTCTTTAAAATGATGTATACATGCCATAGCGGCCCACATTACCCTCATACTAGCAATGATTGCAAGTTGATGTAAAGTCATGGATCTATTATAATAACTGGATAGGGTATTGCTAGTTTATAGCTGAAGATCCATGTGCTCGGGGGATTCTCGCGGTACTGCAGACTAAACAAGACTAAATTCACGTGGGCTACCCAGAAATTTTCACCATTGAACTCAACGTAAACTAAAACAGCTCGACCTCAGCTGACAGAGAACCTACAGCTTTCATAAAGGTCGGATTTTGTGGGGATTTTTGTGTCCCTTGTCATCCTGAACTTTTTTTCTTCTTAAATCCTTCGGTGTTCTTTAAATCCACACTTTAGTGCCACAAACTCTGCTTGTCTGGCTCTCGCTCTGACTCCCGCTCTAACTCCCGCTCTGATTGGTCAGAGCGCGGCCGAGCCCCTCTGTGCACGTGCATGAGACCCATGTGAGACGCACACACGCGTATTTGGCGGAACGCATCATGGGAGATAATCCACTGCACAGAACCGGGAGGACCAGACGATGCCCAAATACAGGCAAGTTCCGCAAATATGTCAGCGACTGTGCCGGCACAAAGCGCCACTGAGCACAACCATTCATTTGAATACGGCGTCATCTTGGATCGCCGGGGCTTGTGTAAAGTATGCATTTACAAGATAATAAATGTAATGAATCACTCTTGAATAATTCTGCATGTTTGCATAATCCCTAAATCCTACTTGAAAGAGGGTGCAGCACAACTGGCTATTTTGTCTTCTTAGTAAGCTTACCCTATACGCCTTCACAAATCTCACGAACACCGGAAAGAAGACTGACGGTGGCGTTGTTTTTGCGTTCTCCCCAAAGAATTTCACCACCTCATCAAATGCGTCCTGCAGAAGACATTCACACAGTTATAACATGGTGATTTTTACATATATTTTCCTATATGTAACATGCTTTATTTACCTGTGCAACTTTAGCATCATCCTGTAGCTTCTTCAGTTTAGCGTCGTTGTGCGTGATGAACTCTTTGAGCATGGTGTTGTGTCCGTGCATGCTGTACTCCCTCTTGGTTAGCTCCATGCCTCTCTGCAGCTCCTTCACGTCCAAAAGGACATTGTCAAGCGATACTATGGAGAAAGAATATCAGGAATGAGCTACAGAAAGCTTTACAAACCAATAATGGATGACTTGTTCCGGCACTCACCCGCCGCCGCCTTTTCTACATAGTGAATTTCATTGTAGAATAGCGAGACCTGCTGGTACTTTTCTTTCACCACGTTGGCAATGTAGTGTAGCAGAGTCATTTTACGGTCCGTCGACTTGGTTTCGAGGAGCTGGGGAAAGTGCAGAGTAAATGTGGATACAGTTAACGGCAAGTCAAGGGATGGATAATGGCGTGGTAATTGCAAGAAACTTACCAAGTCTAAACTTTGAAGCTTGAATCCGTAAACGGCTCCTCTTTTGCTGCTATTCATGTAGTTTCCGAGTGCCAAGATAATCTACAGAGAAAAATATACAATGTAATAATTGCAAAATAAGATGCTAATACTGCTGTAAAAAAAAGGACTTTCTTTACCTCTAGAATTTTCTTTAATTTTTGTGATGACTTGATGGAAACAGATGCAGCAATAACCGCATGTAGTTGCTGTAAAGAAATATAGGACATATATTTTATATATTGTATTATTGTATCTTATCACAGATACTTCACTAGTCGTACTAGTCCCAGTACTATTCCTACTGCTGACCTTCCACTGCCACTACCACAACCACCACTACTACTACTGCAATAGTAGTACTACTGCTCACTGATGCAACTACTACCAATGCTACTGCAACCATCAGAACCACCACCACTACTACCCACTACAATTTACAGCAACCATCATAATGTATTGACTATTTCCCTATTATTGTCATATTTCTTCTGCTTTTTTCTGTGCCATCGAAAGACAGTTCAACGGTTATTAAGCCCTTGTGTTCTTACTGGCGTCAACATTTGGATGCTTTCGCAGAAGTTGCCGATGAAGGCCATGATGGTCATCTTCTGCATGAGCCTCTCAATTTTGCTGAACTGCATCATGAAGCGGTCCTCGTCCGTCAGACTCTCCACAGGTTTTTTCTCCTTCTCGAACTGCCGTAGAACCTTCACCTCGTTCTCCGTGGGGAGGAAGCGCATCAGGCACTCCACGTAGTCCACAGGCAGGGTCCGGAGGTCAAACCTGCAGCAACATGGCCATAATGAGTGGAAGAAAAAAGCAGAATAATCCTAAGAAAGAACAGGCAGGAATTGCTCTTTGGATTCAGGCCTTTTTCGATTCTCCCTAATGAATTGGTTAAGTAGGGCTGATTTACGTATGCTCCACTGTACATTAGTTTTGCCATACCTAACTTATTGTGTTGAAGTTTGGGGCAACAATTATACATCAACAGTTCAGCCACGTGTTATTTTGCAGAAGAGAGCTTTAAGAGCCATCCATGGAGCAGGCTTTAGGGAACATCCACATATATTTGTAAATTACTAACATTTCCAGATCTGGTGGATTTACAAACAGTATAGGTTCTGTATAGGGCAGTGTAACGATTTACCTCAAAATGTACAGATTTTTTTTACTGAGAGAGAAGGAGGGTGTGTGCAACATTACATATTACCAAGGGAACACAGTAAAAAGAAAAAGGGATTAATTGCCACTTTTTATTGTACATATATATCCTGCATGTAACATGTTTGCACATTTCCTCCTTTTGCACAATCTGAGTGTTCTATCCATGCCAAACGTGACAATAAAGCATATCTTATCTTATCTTAAACTGTGGAACAGCTTAAATGAGCAGCTCCAGCAATGTCCAAATATAAAAAAAATTAGGAAAAGATTCAAAAACAATATTTTTGAACAATATGAAAATGAAGGAAAATTACTTTTTTTGTTTAGGATGCAAACATATATGCAAATATGTAGGAAAAAATAAGTACTAATGTTTTTGCAAGAAAGTGTAAAAACCAAAGGAAGTAACTAATAATGTTTGGGGGTGGGAATAAATAAGTGTTCAACTTCACCCCACTCCTTTTTTAAGTAATATATTTTGTTCTACTAAAAGTGTTCCTACGACCACTGTTTTTTTTTGTTTGGTTTGTTATTGTTGTAGTACACGTTTTTATTGTTTGCTTGAAATAAACTAAACTAAACTTAGCTGGAGATTCTTGGTTCAGAAGGATGTAGAGGTGGCTTTAGGTGAGAATTTGTCTTGTTTTAAGTTAAATGTCATGAATAAGGCTGCTCTAAATTTGTAGTCTTTGTTTTATAAAAAGTAATTATTTAAAATTATTCAGGTGTGATGGATGGGAGTATGTACGTTTATATACACTGTCAGAACTCAACTTTTACTTTGTAGAAAGTACTATTAACAATGACCTCTCAGTGTTGAGGCCAAAATAAATCCTTTAGGTAAAAATAACTAACAAAGAAGTTTAGATTTAAACTTCTTTCTTCAATAGACGTTTTTCTTTGTGACGAGAGCTAAAACAAGCAAGTAGATTTGTATTTTTATCTAAACTTATGGTTTTCTTGTACCATTGTCATACTACTATCTTTGGAATAATTGATGAGTGGAAATCACTTCAAAGTTCTCAGATTGGACTTGTGTATACCACTCTTACACTGTCCTTAAGGTAGCGTCCCCAATGTGCTCACACACTTAATATTCAGAGTGACTTACAGCTGGATGGCTCTGCAGATCTCCTCTGGCACCTTGCCCACCTTCCTCAGCGTAATAGCCAGGTTCTTGGCTCGGTTGGAATCCAGCAGAGTCACCTTGTTGGGTCCCTTCTGAATGACCTGTTTGCTCATGGTCAGATCGAGCGAAGGACCCTGCGCTTTAGTCTTGAATATCTCCTCGAACTCATCCACGTTCAGATCCTGAGATATTGAAAGTGTTCATTTCATTAGACAGAAAAGCACAATGTTGTTATAGGCTCCGGTCAATTAGTAAAATGGAGTTGTCTAAAAACATTTAATCAAGTTTGTTTAGGATAATAAAATTGTCCTTCAAAACTTGGAGCAAAGCCACTTCTCTAATCTACTGAAATGGCTTTTAAAAGGAATCCCAACAGGTAGCTCTTATTACACATACAAGCAAACGGTTTATGTTTCAAATAATCCTCATTGTACCACTAACATAACTATATTTGTTTTTCCTCCTTTTATCTAGCAGCTGTATTATTATTACCTCAAGTATCTTCTCGTCATCGATCTCATTGAAGACCGTGCCGTTGATCTGGTTGGGTTTCAAGGCTACCCAGTTGAAGACAGGCATGCGGAACTTTGTCTTGATGGGTTTCTTGATCTTCACCGCTGAACAGGAAGCATGTACATTAGCATGACCATAGTTATCTGCTGCTACTGCTACATATTTGGACACACTACATCCACAGACATACAAGGAATGTTGGGCTGTTGACACACACACACATGGTATGACTCTTTATGGGCATGTCTACGGTGTGAACAGACATTGAAGTGAAACCAGAGTGAAGCCTGCTTCTCTTTACACTTTACACTGCCCAGGCAAAGTGGCACAAGAGGTGAGGATTTCCTTCTTGGCGCGGTGACAAAGATTAGAGTGGTTGTGTCACATCAGCCAAAGAGGGAGCTACAGTCAGCTCAGGCCGTCATGGGAAAGATAAACAGGTCTCCAGCTCTATGCTATGTCCATCGCACTATGGCGTCTGCATGATGTGGTTTATGGTGGTCACACTTCACGACACACAAAACCACAGCAGGATGTCGTATTAAACCATGCAATGTATCGAAATGAGACAGTTCTTCTCATTTGAATTGGCATTGGAAACAAATTCAATGTCTAGCCCTGTGCATAAGCCCAGTCTTTCTGAATATGTATCTATTTTACAGTGATCAGGCTTATTTACAAACAGATGGGTGAATTCTCCATCTTTCTTTCCCATATTCTTCCCATATGTGCTAAAACTAACTTCAAAATGTCTTGAAGTATCACACAAATGTGAAATGACCATAAAAGTTAAACATTTCCATGTAAAGCTTACAGATGAAACTATGAAAATTGGAATATTGTTCAACTTTCTTCTACAGTTATAATAACTTCAATTGTAATGTGAAACAACATGCATATAGCAGATTCATTACACGCAAAGTGATACATATCAAGCTTTTATTTGCTCAAATGTTGATAAATATGGCTCACAGCTTCCAGAATAAAACATCTCAGAAAAATAGAATAATTTGAAAATGGAATGTTCGCCATAATCATCAAAAATTATAGCAAACAAAGGCTTTTGATATACGTCACTGTGCATGTGATGAGTCTATATCATATGTTGATTTTAAATGAACTTTTGAACAACAATTTTCCGAGTTTCACCTGGATATTTTAACACTACTTCAACACGGTTTACCCATTTCTCTTGTCGTTCAAAATCCTGGAGAGATTAAGTATCACCCAATAACATGTTGGAGTTTTACTCTTGTTTCTATATTGCTTTTCAGGAACGCAATAAACCAAACCAAATGAGAAAACTGTAGAGCCCATAAAACAGCTTTGAAAACTGATGGATGACACTTCAAAACAAACAGGGGAGGACAACAAAACTTTGGGGAGAAACTTAACAAGTAGAACCTACAGAACAGTTTGATGGGTCCTTCTGGATAGCAAAAAAGAGGATTGAGAGAGTTAATGATACGGTATAGAAACACAGATCATGGCTAATATACTGGCATGCTCTTGACATTTACAGAAGAGATAAGTGTTGCTTCTGACTCTTATCTGAATTCCTCTGAGGCCAGCATGCTCTGACAGGAACTGAGATACAAAATGACATTGAAGAGGCTTCCAAAACACTTAACAACTTTGTCAACTGATTAAGTCAAAGAACTCAGTGAAAAGAAAAATAATACTAAGAAAAAGAAAAACATTCTTTTCAGAGTGTTGCAGATTAAACCCTTTGAAGAACGGTTAATATAAAGGTGCTTATACTGTACTGTATACTGTGACTAACTATAACTAGTGTATAACTTACCCGCCAGGCCCGAGTTCATGATGACCGTTGGTGTACCAGATCCGGGCAGAGGGGGAGCCATTGGTGGCGGGGGTGGGGGCAGTGGCACCGACATATCTGGTCCTGGAGGAGGAGGCGGAGGAGGAGGTGGTGGAGGAGGTGGAGGTGCCGCAGGTGGGATCACCGAGAGTGGTCCGTTTGGTACTAGGAAAAAAGAGAGGATGATGAGCAATTGTGTGTTTTGTCTGCTTTGAAAACTACAAACTTCCAAAACAACATTCTTGGGCTAAATTCAAAAGTATAATCATAATGTTAATAAATAAATAAATACATTCAGTAATTGCCGGACAGTAAGCCGCGGCATTTTTTATTGTGGTAGAGTTGGGCTGTTGTCAGAGTAGAGTTTATAGATGTAATATTTTGACTCTACCTAAGTTTTAGTAGCTATTTGCACTTGTTCGTCCATCACAAGTCAACAGTGATTTGTGTTACACTACAACAGAAAAACCTGCAGGTTTCATTCAAGTGCAGCTTAGATGTCGGCAATTTTTTTTTCTTTTAAAATTTGTCAAGGTACAGTATGTATCATATCGGCAAACTCAGAAAGATACCCAGGCCAGGAATACTCATAATATGCATGAAATCAACTCACTATGAACACAGCTGAATGTGTCGAAACATGCTGTGCGTTTGACCTAATTCTGAAATGTATCACGTTTTGATGTTTTGTGTGAAATAGTACACACACACACACACTCACACACTTCAATTTGAGAAGCGCAGATACAACCCGCTTCAAACCTACATGTGCCATTGACTGGAGGTGGAGGTGGGGGCGGTGGAGGACCGACAGTGCCCCCTGGGAGCACCACGTGGTTGGGACTGTGCCCAGTGGTGTTTGACACAAAGACAGCCCCCGGCACCCCTCCTGGTACTCCTCCGGGTACTCCTCCAGGTACTCCCCCTGGTACTCCCGTGGGTGAAGTCAGGATAGATATGTCTCCGTCGCCTTTCTTCTGAATCTTGATGGTGCCTTGCTTTTCTAATTCATGAATCTTCTTCTCCAACTTTGACTGTCTCTGAATGGCCTCATCCTTCTCCTTCAACATCTGCCTCAGTGCAAGCACTTGAGAAGTGGTTTCTTTGTAGTGGTCCTGAGTTGGATTTGTACAAACATTACACATATGGTACATATTTGTTAAAAGACATCAGTAAAGTCAAAATGCTCACCCTTATAGAGTCAAGGTCTTTGTTCCTTTGCATTAGCTGTTTCTCTAACTCCACAATCTTGGACATGGCTTCATTCTCTGTGTCCTGGAGTTTTTCTGTCATCTACAAAAAGAAAAAGTCAAGGTAGTTATGTAAATTCCTACACATATATAGCAAACAAATAAACAATACAAAAAATGGATAAGTACCTCCGAAGGGCATTTTTGAGAGAGTAGCTTGTGGATAAAAAACAAAAGAAAAACAGAACTTACATGGGACATATTCTCCTCCAGCTCCTCTACTCGCTCCAGTGCTGCATTTTTGGTCTCTGCATCTTCCAGAAGAGCTCCCACATCAAAGACATTGTCCAAGTACGCCTGGATCTGCACCTGTAGCTTATCGCTCTCTGTGTGCTTCAGTTTCTACAACGTTCACAAGACATTTACATTAGAACCATTCGGAGCACAAACTGTAATATTCAACAGCATTCAGTATTGATCTGCGCTCACGTCTAAGTACTCGTCTAGAAGCAGCTTGGTGAAGTCGTACTGGAGATGGACTCTGAAGTTCATGTCCTCCACTGAGTGCACAACGATGTTTATAAACTGCATACATGCCACCTGGGAGTAGGCACAAGAGGACAGAACATTAGAGAGTGGTATATGCACAACAACCCTTAACATTTCTTATTCAGTCCTAATAATTCATATCATGGCTTGTGTATTCAATTCCATTTATTTTTGTAAAGCCCTAAATCACGACAGTAGTTATCTCGGAGGAGTTATCTCAAAGTAGTTGATTCGCCAAAAAAGAGATCAGAGGATCAAACTGCTCTTAAAATTAAGTGCAGAAATGTCTGTATTTCTTGTATTCAAGCATTTAACTTTCTTGTGGGAGCAAAATCCTTCCCTTCAAGACATAGTGGTTTGTAATTTTCAAATCGTTTCAAATATAAATTCTGCACTGCATATACGACTTTGATTCCAATAACATTTTTGGTCTTTAAACTATATTCGATCGGCAATACAAACGTAACTATATTTATTATGTATTGACAGTGCATGTGTTGTCTTGAAAGTCCATCTAATAACTTCTGCTTTATCCGTGGCCATAGTCAGGAGACAGCAGTCTGAGCAGAAACTCCCTCTCAAACTTTCTCCAGCTCATCCAAAAGAAACCTGAGGTGTAACCAGGCCACGTGCCAGACTTTTGTCCCTGCAGAATGACGTGGGTTTTGTAAAGCACTTTGAATTTGTTGTGTAAGAATTGTGCTTTTTACAAATAAACTGGCCTTGCCTTAGTTTAGCTTTTCTGTGTGTTGTCAGAGCCCAAAGGAAAGCTCAAGAACATTCAAGCAGTACTTCCTTTTCCTACTTGCACAAGACCACAGTCTACATAGATCTTAATATTCAGCTGGCTCCTAAAACCACCTGGTACATATGATAAATGTTGCTCATCTGGGCCTGCTGTTCCTCACACTCTCGCTCTTGCACAACAGAGACTTAAAGCTCTGGGAAAAAGTGGAAGCGTAACTCTTTTGTTAAGATTATCTCGGAGCACAATTCTCTGCAGTGATGTGCAGGGCATCAATAGCCATTAGGAGAGTGAAGCATACCATGAAGTCAATATTATTGTCCTCATTTTTGAAATACTCCATTAGCTTCTCGAAACGCTGCTCCTCTGTACAGACCTGCAACAAGCACAAGACATCACATTACTGTAGATACTAGTACAAACATAAATACAAATACTTTATGGTCTATTATTTTAATCAATCTGTTATGAAGTTTCATCATAATGAATGTTTTAACCAAAAGTTGAAGGAATATAAAAAGGAAGAGTAGTAAGGCTGGAACAAGAGCTTTTGGGATAAAAAAGCCATATCTCACCATTATATATAATGCAATGCAGCCTCAAAACATTCTACTTCTACAATGTCCTTGTGACATTAAGATACAAACTGTTTGAAAAACATATATATAGAGAGGGAGAATTAACAAAAAGAAAAGTTTAACTAAAAGTATATTTTATCTTAAATTATATAGAGTTTACTTTTTTCCTCTCCACCTTCTGATAGTCTTCAAATGCTTTTCTTGGAATGAACCACAATATGGCATAACAATTATAACTCGAGCAAGTTACAGAGAATAATCATCAATATAACCAGCCTTAACTTGCATAAAAACCTACCCTGTGCCACTCAATAAACTACTACTAGAACAATTTTCATTTAGCACACTAAATAAGTTTAAATCTTTAATTCAATTCCATTCCATTTATTTTCCTACAGCCAGTCGTCTCGGAGGATTGCCAACAACAGATCAGAGAATCAACTGCTTGAACACAGGAAATGCAATAATAACGAACACACACTTTTTACTATTGTGTTGTTTATTTGTCAGGGAGCATGTTCTGTACAAAAGTGTCTCACAAAAGAAAAGACTTTCTGTACAAATGTAGCTACCGGGTTTCTGGCTGCATAAAGTAGGACAAATGCATGAAAATGTGTGAAATATGAAATAGTGCAGATAAAGGGACTGAGGAGGAGAGTCGGAGCCAAGGAGTTTAGTGAGTTCATCCAGAGGGCGATGGAGAGATGAAGCATGACAAACTGATAGAAAGGGAAGAAAGGGGGTGCCAGATCCAAACCATGCATAAAATGTGTTGTTTGTGCCCTGGTTGAGTCCTTATACTATTTCAACAGCCAAACAAGATGCAAAGGGAACTCAGGACAAGCCTCATATATTAACTACATTCTCAATCCTCCTCTCATTAAAGGGTCTACATCTCCCCAGTGCCCTAATCTACCACTAATGCCGGTGCCTCCGAGAGCAACACTCAATATTTCATTCAGCCGTGTAAATATTGCATTAACTGCAGTCAGGCCGTGTTTGCCGACCCCCGTTTTGGAAATAGGAAGAAGTGCTAGTCTGGTCCATCACTAACCCCCCCCACAGGTTTTATACAGACAACAAAGGTCAAGCAAGGCAGCGCGCTCTGTCTTCGTCGAGAATTTCCTACCAATTTGGCTCACGGGAAAACCCAACATTCAAAAGAATCGATAGCTGCATAGGGAGGTGGATCACGGTAAGTCAGAGTTCAATAGATTAAAATTGTCCTTAAAATGTCAGATGCTGTGTATGTTGGGCACAGATAGGAGTTAAAATCTATGCTTCCACCGTTTATGCAGATGAGTCAAAAACCAGTACTAAGTTCAATGACTGCGCTCAATGATGAACTAAAATCACATCCTCTCGTTCACAACAGTACATCGTGGCATAAATCACAAAGACCTGTTTTATAGTAGTACTCAGGGATGCACCGATCCAGCTTTTCCATGTCCGGTACCGATGTCAATACTTAATCTGATATCAACCGATACCAGTGACAGGACTATAAATATAATTACTTTCCCTTCATATCACCGCAATCTTAATACTGTGGTTTAAATTGTGGTAACTTTAAGTGTAAGAGATCCTTTAATCGTCTCACAGTGGTGGAATTTCAGAGTTGCATCACAAGTTTCAGAATAGTAGGAATGAGGAGTAACACAAGATAAGTGATTATTAAATATAGCACCACTCTTTACTTTGAACATAAAATAAAATAAAATCTCCATCTTTAGCTTAATAAAAAAGCAAAGTATAAACCTGCTACACTTTAGTGCAATACATTGCAATACATACATAAATACATTTATTCATTTAGCCTGCCGAACTTTGTATGAGAAAAAGCTCAAACTCTATGACTTTCAGGGTTAAAATTGGCAAGTAAAATATGAATGCTAATATGGAGATTTTATGGATTTGAATTCTTAAAAAATCAAGGCAGCGAATTTCCCCCAACAATGCAACTAAAACGATTACATCAAATTCTATTATAAAGTGAATGTAACTTATTCTACTTTTTATGAAGACTCCTAAACTACAAAGTCAGTCATCCCTCCTTGAGACTTCTTTCCCAGACACAATAGCCCAGGCAGGCGGAGGAGAAGTGTGTCAGGAGAGGACATTCCTACACGCTGAGTCATCTCTTTCAAAGCCCACGGTCCAAATGTAATGACATACATTATTCTCTACGCAGACCCCGCTCCCCCCGGTTCTGTCCCGTGCGCTGCATACCTCCTTAAAGTTGTCGAATGCAGAGAGGATGATTTCGTGGCCCCCTCTCACCAGACAAACAGCCGCCAAGAGTTCCAAGACCAGAGCTTTTGTTCTGAAGGGACAGGTGAAGATACAGTAGTTAGTAAATGGCCTGGCTAAGATGAATGAAGTAAAGAAAGCATTATGTATTTTAAAAGTGGTACTAAGATTAAAACAATAATTTCAAAACTGCAGCATCACTTACGTGTTATAACTGTTCAAAAGGTTTTTGGATTTTTTTCCATTTTTAAGCATCCTATTCTATCATATACTTTATTTTATCTATAAAAAATGGGGGTCCATGGCTCAGTTGGTAGAGCTTTGTTCTTCGGGTTTAATGGTTGTGGATTCGATCACCCCACAAAACATACTCCATCGACTTCCACTGATTTCTGCTATGGTTGTGTCCTTTGGCAAGACACTTAACTTCACTCTGCCGCTGACAGACAATGGCTGTGTCCTCAGTTACGGAGCAGCCATTCTCCTGTGGACTCACCACCTGCAGGAGGATCAGTAAGGGGCTGGGGCTTTACCACCCCCACCCTCTGACTTTATTTTAATACTTGGCGGTACAATGCTTAGTTGAATTTTTATGTTGAACATAGCAGCCAGTTAATAGCTCTATAATTATGTTGGAATAGTTTTTTAAAGCCTTCCATCATCTTTGTTCTTTTTTAAATAAAAAAGCCAAAGTACTTTAAATGCATATTACTGAATGGATAGGAAAGTACAAGGACTAGGAAGCCACGGATTGATTTTAGTTTTGAGTTCATTGGTCTCAATATAAAAATGTCATAAAAAGCACACAAAGCTGGTACACTGACTGCCAACTCTTTCATGCAGGTCTGATGTAAGTTGAGCAGACAAGCGCGGTGTGGCAGTTCAACTAGCTGCGGTTTGACTTTGACTTTTAGAGGAAATCCTTGAGCCTGGGGCAGTAGTCAGACACGCCCAGGCGCACACGCTGTGTGGAAACGGCTGCTGATGTGGTAGAGAGAGCCAGAGGAGTCCTGCCCTGTCAGCCACGGTGGATGTGTCTCTAGGCTACACTGAGGCCTGCACCTCCAACTCAGAGCAGGTGCAACAAGGAGGAAAACAAGCATTTTCTTTCTCTTGTTTTGTTAATATTACAACTTTCAAGAGCGAAGGGTTTCTGACATCTTATCATCAAAATCATACTACACACGTACTTAGTGGTCATGTGGCAAGGGACTTAGAAACGCTCAAACAGTTGTCTGTGGGGCAAAAATACCACGGCAATCTGTCATTTTAGTTTAGCCCATTCATTTATTTTAGAGAAAAAATACTCTACTATTCCATTAACAATGAAGTAGGCATATGAGACAAGTGGCAACATGACACAGAGACAAGTGGACTAGAAGCTGAGCAGTCGGTTTTATGAAAGTGTCAAAGGCTTACAATTTACATAACACTGAAGGTGTTTCTGGTGAAGCGTTACCTGGGATTTTTATTGTTGAGACTTAGTGCAATTTCATTCACAGCGTGCGGGTGCGACATGACCATGTTGAATCCATACTGCAAAAAAATCAAGACACATCTGCTATTAATACAAACAAACCAGGTCAATATACAAGATGAAGCAGGTCGATTCAGTTTGGCTTTTATTAAATGCAAGTGCTCTCTGGAAGTTTGGCCGTGCTCTGACCTGGTAGTTCATGATGGCGCGTAGGCACATGATGCAAACATGGACATCATCCTTCTTACACACCAGTCTGGAGTTTTTCAGCGTTCTCCGGCTAGGCAGTGTGTTGCATCTGAAAAGAAATAAAACACTACTGTGAGTTTAATGAATGGATTTTGAAGTGTCCATGTGACTGTGAGAGGGGCATTGGCATACACAGCTTGGACAAACAAGTCTAACAGATGCCATTTGTGACTGTGGCCCTCACACACACACCATTGGCTTTATAAACAGGGGCTATTAAACTGCCAGAGCTGCTTACACTAACGCATACAAAGACTATATAATCTACAACCTCGCCAGGGACCACTACGATTCCCACTTTGAATTGTTTTACACATCCTGCACAGATAAGGCTCTTTGTGAACACAATAGCAGCAGTGATTTGTATGCAAGACATGATTGTGCAGTTGCTCCTGTGTGGGGAATGGAAGCTGCCGTTTATCAGTGATATTCTCAGCAGGCCACAGCACAACAGTTTATTTTCAGACTTTTGTCACAAGGTTCAATTACCAGACACGGTGGAGGGAGAAAATGTGTCTTCAGGCGACTAACAGACAGACACGAACAGTTCGAAGTCACGGAGCCCAACATGCGGCCATGACTCCTCTGTGAGTCACCACAGAAAGAGGCTTTTCAGAGGAAAACTTTAAATGGAAGTAGTATTTTCTAATATCGCCTTTAAAGGATTCTTTTAAGTAGTCTTTTGTCTGAGAAGTTGTAAGAAAGTTGTGACGACCAAAACACACGCAAAAATATACTGTATGGTTCAGAAGAATAATGATGTTATTGAATAATGTTACCTTTCAAATGAAATATACAAAGTCCTGTTGGAGTTCTAGCCTTGGTTTCGGTTGACTTGTTTGGTGTTATGAAGTTTATTGCAGAGGTGACCAAACATTTTAGTAACTTTAGTTCAGCAGGCTTGTCCAGGGGCCTATACCAAGACTTATATAACTATTTTAACTGGATTCGGGCTGATCTGGGCTTTAAAATTGGGTGTGACTTTTCCATATTGATTCACACCACAGCTACATTATCATCACCATATATGGAATTTTGTGTCACAATCAAAAACAAATGTACAATTTTGATGACTATGTTCCAAAGGGTCTGAGCTTGACAATGAGAGCATGATGTGGAGCTAAAATTGGCTGGATGACTGTGAAAGTGGCTCAATGGCTACTTTGTGTTAGCAAGACAGAGGGCCACATAACATAACACCTCACCACGGGTCACATGTCGTTAGTTTTAATGGACTACAGTATTTTATTTTTCTTGAGTCTCATGTTACAGCAGATAAAGGGTCACTTCATAACTGTGGCAGCAACCTCAGTAGAAAAAAGTCACAAGAAAAACACTTCTGTTGTGGGTTCTTCAAACAAAGCTACATTACTACTATTCTATGTCTACATTTACAACATGTATTTGTCAACGCTAAGTGAAAGTAGTTGCTTCAAGCCAAAACAACTACTTCACGATTACGCTGCTACAGATGTCCCACTAGCAGCAATGCTAACAGACATACCTTTTCATTTGAGCACACCTGGGACAGGGCAGTGAGCTTGGGGTCCTTCGAAGAACGTACAGAAAGATACACAAGTCTTAATCAACATGTCACTGTCTACAATCACTTTAAGAGTAACTGGAACTAGCTTAAGGGAAAATTGTGATTTGCGGTGGATTCTTAAATAAGCATGGGTATAGTATACGCCTACAATGTGTATATCTGTGTCCATGCTTAAAATTGGCTAGCATTTTAGCGCTAAGAGGCTAGTCAGCTTGAGGAAAGTAGACTAGCCTCTGTCGTGGTGGCATTTAGAGAGCCACACAAGCAGCACACAGGCAGGAACAATGACCGCAGAAAAAGCCATTTGCTCTAAGGAAAAAGAAGAATCCAGTCATGAGCGCAGGAGGGGAGGCTGGCAGGACAAATAATTCACATCCCTGGCAGTAGCACAGACACTGGGATACAACAGGCTACAGGGTAACAGGGTGGTACAATGAACCGAAGGGGATTGTGAGAGTTAAGTATTCATGTGCTGTTGTTATTACTGGGTGGACAGGGAGCAGCGGTGCAAAGCTGAGACCTGCCTGCTGTCGAGGACTGGCAGACAGTAGAGAACGTCACTATGGGCCCGTACAGAAGAGAGGAGACACATATAATTACACAAGCGAAACGACCCATACACTGAAACCCCAGGCAACTATTGATATTTAGCAACACAATATCAATAGGAGAGCAAATTCTTCCAATAAATCAGCCTTAAATGATGGCGACATGTCAATAAAAATAATAACACAGGCCATTCAACTGTTATCACAAACATCTTGACTTTAAGCAGTATTTCAACTTGAGTCTCATCATTAGGGCTATAGTGTACAATGGTTTCAGCTATTGAAGTTAAAGGATTAGTGGTCACAAAAGTTAGTGCTGCTGCCAAGACATCAAGTGGCAGAGAGGATTAGCACAGAAATGCTGATGTCAGAGTATAGGCTTTGCACTTGAGGCTTTATTTCCAATAGGGTTATGAGTATAGTACTGGGAAATTACCCAAACACCAATGTTGTTTTTTTTAAATTGCAGCCTGTACAAATTTGTTCCAAGTAAGTGACATCCGCCGCTGGGTAAATTGCTTCCATTCAAGCAGCATTGCGTCTTGTGTACTTCAATAACAATGTGTTCATAACAACTAAAGACTCTTGTCTTTGTATCCTAATCCATTTAAAGTCTCACAGAACACATGACCACATGAAGGAGTCATATGAAAAGAGTGACTTCTTAAAATAATCTCAATCATACATTCAGAATAAAGTTTTGGACCAAAGAAGGAATTCTCTAAAGACAAACGTGCAACTGTTTCAGTTACTACTACTTGTTAGTAAAACACTGTACCAGTTTTTGTACTGGTACAGAATTAAGCCAATGTCCCCCAATCTACTTTTTCATTTAATAGTAAATGAAAAAAGGCAGTTTGTTCACACAACACTGATTATTGTATGAACATACTGAACTACTAATACTACTGAAGATTAAATGATACAATGTTCAGTCGTAGAATATCTATAGAGATAAGTCGAATCTAAGTCAATCCCAGCTACCTGACATCTCCTAGTTATGGGTTGCACTAGTGCAAAGATGGCTCTTGGCAACCAAAAATATATAAATAAAAATGCAAAATTAACAAAATCCTATTGGAAAAAGCAAGTTATTATAATCTTTTAAAAGCACTGAACAGCCAGCTTTAGTGGAAGTTAGATCACATGCGTAAGTATAGGCTTTGTGCTGGTGTCCAATTACTATTGACAATCATCACATTATAGTGGCTGGCTAAACATTTGAAATAACAATTCAAAATGATACATAATCATTCCTACAGATGTCCTACCTGAGCGTAGAGTGGCGTCCCATGCGAGTGAGTCCGTTCCCAGTGATGGGAGACGGCAAAGTGCTTCCTCCATGCAGGTCTTCTATCGAACGTCCCCAAGGCTTGTTTTTATCTATCGTATCTGGGTTATTTTCCAAGCAGTCCCCATCGAATCTGCAGCAAGCATTGGGCAAACGTAAGTTTCGATACATGACAGACCAAATAATCAAGCTGTAGGAGAACAAAATATAAAATGAAAAAATGCATTGAAATTGTTATTGTGAAAAGTGAAAAACTTTATTTCTTTATGAGTGATACTGGAAATTCAATTGAGGCATCAACATCTATAAGCACTTTGGGGCACTAACTAACTTGTTGTAAACAGGACAGTCCACAAGTCCATTTACTTGTGAATTACAAGTAACCCTAACCCTATGCCTTATGATCCAAGGGATGTCAGAATGCCACAATATACAAGAGTGGTCAATATTGTAACATCAAGCCAATCAAATTTCACGGTTGGATTGGTCCCTGATGCCCACTATATTTATTTTCCTTGGTTAGTACAGTGGAAAGCCTAGCTAATTGGCCTCATACATAGCAGCTCTGTTTCCATGACTTCTAATCGCTGTGGCAGAGAACCCCGTGGGTGAGCAGTTTTAAGACTAGCCATTCATAATAAGGACGGGCCGCAATAACTTATGGTGAAAAAAGGTGGTGCTGGGGATTCAAATGACCTGCCAAGCCCTGTGGCCCTGTGGCCCCAGTGAGTAAGTAGTAATCATGAGTTGGATCTATGAATAGGTTGTAATATGCAGAGCCCGTGGATAAACAGTGACTCAGGATTTCTGGTAGGAGAAATGGATTGAAATGGTCTGATGCGACTTACGTGACGGCATACTGTGCAAAAGAAAGATATTCCACCAGCACGTCCAGGCCTTTGTTCTCTTCATTTAGGAACTCTCTCACCCACCTGCAGAAAAGACAGAAAACCAAGTTAGAAGACATAGTGGCTAAAGCTCAATGAAAACATTTGCTGTAGTACTATTTTCTTGTCAGTCCTTTGGTCCAAGTTTAAGCAAAGTTCAGTCATGAAGTAAACTTTGTTGGGTCCTTTTCCACTTAGGTTAAGGTTGTTATTATAAATTAATACAGCCTAAGTATGACACATTTATTTGACCTATCTTGGCGGATGATGCTTTTTGTACACATGTGTGTGAATGGTACATTTAATCTGGACTATCTGTGTTTCAAAGTAACAATGCTTTTGTAAAGGTGTATGATTAACTATTTGATGTATCTTGTCCCAAAACATGTTGCTTTTTATAATCAGCTATGCCCCGAAAGTTTCCCAGGACATTTCCCAGCATGCACGTCAGCTCTGGACATGTGTCATGGGAGTATAACTCTTCTTAACTTTGGTTTCTCTTTTCCCCACTTATCCTTGAAAAAAGGAGGGTTTCAAAACTGGGTGTGATATCCAAAATCATGTGATTAGTGGTAAATCTGTCTTTTTTTCATACGCTCATCATCTTTACATTAACCTATCGATACATTAAAGGTATACAAGAGGATTTTCTACTTCCGGGTGGATCATCAACACTATTGGTCCTCCCAAATGTCAATCATTCTGTTTATACGTCCTTGTCCTATAAGAGCAGAGAGTTTTGTTCAAAAAGTAGAAAGGGCGGTTCTTTCCTAAAATATGGGAAAATCCTCCTTTATACCTTTAAGTGAAGGGTGGCAACACAACTATTGTGATTTGCTGCTCTACGAATCAATTTGATTTGATTCAGTTTGAAACATGTAAGAATTTATATGCTCTTACACAAAAGTGAATCTCTCCTTCACAGTGGTTCTCCCTCAAGTCTCTTTTTCCCACAGGGGTTTTTTTCCCTTGCTGTAGGAGGGTTGAAGGACAACGGGCGCCCCGAGACATTCATTCATTTACTTAATTCCTGTGAACATTGGTTAATCTGGCCGTCTCTGCTATTGGCAAATTAAACGTTCTGGGAAGTCTTTTGAGGTGACTGCTGTAGGATTTTGGGCTGTACACAAAAATACATTTATTTGAAATACTGCACACAGTCAAAAGTCAAACACTTTTTGATAGAGATAAGACACTTTTTATTTTGATGTCTATGCCAAGATACACACTTGAAGTAACAGCATGATAGCATGACACATTTCCTTGGGGTTGACCTCGGTAACAGAAACATGCAAATTCATCTCAGATATGGGTAATGACTTGTATATAGGAAACCTCAAAGCTGCCTGCTTCACCACTCTACATGATGTGACACATGCTAGGTCACACATACATAAACAAACACTATCTCATTACGGAGTCTGCACTTCTCTCTCTCGCCCTCGCGTTGGTGGAGACAGGCCCTGCATGATCAAAAGACAGTGCTCACCTTCCCCACAGAGGGCCAGTCATTCAGCACTACTTTCACTTTATACAGAAGGAGAACTTTCCCAACCAACTCTTGAACCACTGCAGAACTACAACAGTGTATAGTAGTCTCTGTGGTTGTGTTCACACTTGGTCAAGTGGACTCAGTTCACTTCAGAAGCAAATGCAACCGTCCTCATAACATCACTGAACTATTTCAAAAGAAGTCAAAAGAAGTGAACTGACTTATGTGACTAGTGAATGAGGTTGCACTTGTTTGTTGGTAACTTAAATATATATTTTGCCCCAAGTGCACCATAATTGGTCAAATTAAAGTGAACTCTGATACAAAGAGAAGAGAAGAGGTAGTTGTGACAGTACAAAGTTCCATCCATCCATTTTCTTCCGCTTCATCCGTTGCCGGGTCGCGGGGGCAGCAGTCTAAGCAGAGACGCCCAGACTTCCCTTTCCACACACACCTCCTCCAGCTCGTCCGGGGGGACCCCAAGGCGTTCCCAGGCCAGCTGAGAGACATAGTCCCTCCAGCGTGTCCTAGGTCTTCCGCGGGGCCTCCTCCCGGTGGGACGTGCCCGGAACACCTCCCCAGGGAGGCGTCCAGGAGGCATCCGGAACAGATGCCGAGCCACCTCAACTGGTTCCTCTCGACGTGGAGTAGCAGCGGTTCTACTCCGAGCTCCTCCCGTGTGACTGAGCTCCTCACCCTATCTCTAAGGGAGCGCCCAGCCACTCTGCGGAGGAAGCTCATTTCGACCGCTTGTATCCGCGATCTCGTTCTTTCGGTCATTACCCAAAGCTCATGACCATAGGTGAGGGAGGGAACGAAGATTGACCGGTAACCTGAGAGCTTTGCCTTTCGGCTCAACTCCCTCTTTACCACGACGAACAGTACAAAGTTGTTAAGTTGTTATTGAATGATGATGTTTATTAATATTATTTATTAAAAAAAATTGGAGATCAATTTCAACCAAATATATGGCAACCTAAAAATAAATAAATAAATGTTTTAAAACACAACTTAAAAAATAAAAAATATATTCAATAAAAAAGATAATACTTTCAATCAAAGCAGCAGTAGCTCAAATATATAACTGTGACTCGTAAACAATCAAAGCTGCAATGTGAACTAATAATCAGCATGTCTGTGTAATCTCATGTTCTGTATTGTACTGTGCAATGATCTTATGTTTTTTATGTTTGATAAGATAAAAGATGCTTTATTCGTCCCACAGTGAGGACATTTTACTAACGTCTGCTGAATGTGGCTTTTAATAATTCTTACTCTGTTTGTTTGTTGATGGCTGTAACATCAACCTGCCTTCAGGACTATAGATGGAAATTTGCCTTCAGGACTAAATCCGGCTTATTTAGATGGACACGGTTATTAATGTCCATAAATATGCTGTCCCATTTAAATAAACCAAAAAAATAAATATGTATGCATCATTGAAAAATAAACCCTTGATCTAAGCCCTATAGGAAATGTAGCATTAATTAGAAACACAAGTCAGAAACTACCAGAATTTAATATCTGTAGAAGTGGTATTTGAAGTTGTACTAGGCAATGGATGTGGCTTTTAGTCATAGTTGGGTAAGAAATACTGTAATAAAAGTATTTCAATCTGACTTGAGACGAAGATTGCATAAGACTATTTATTGTCACATGTCATTGTCATTGTTATTTGCACAATCTGAGTGATACTATCCATGCCAAATGTGACGTACAATTCTGCATTGTGAGATCAATGTAGTTTATCTCATCTAATTGCATTAGGATTGGCGATTAGACTCCGGTCGGAATGCTGCATGACGTGTGCAGAAGGGAGTTTTAATAGAAATGATGAGCTTGCGAACCCGGGGCCTAGAACCTGGTGGCAAAGAAGTTGAGGCGAAGACATGACATGATATTCTACTGAAGAGGAGGTGATGAGGAGGAGGTGGGTTGCTGCTCTAATAGCAACTTGAGCTGCAGAGAACTGAGAAGCTCTGTTTAAATGCAGCCATGAAGAGATGAGCACAGGTGTGTTACTGAGCAGCTGAGGCTGATTGCTGTTGAGCTCTGGCACAGGCGTGACAGGAGGAGTCAGTGCAGAGGGGGAGGAGTCAGAGTGGCAGCATGACGTCTCTTTGGTCTTCCAGTCTGAGTTTGTGCTTAAACTTCATTTGACATTAGATCAAGATTCAAGAGTCAATTTATTGTCATTGTCAAAGAGAACAATGCATCAACAACACTAAATAGTTTGATGTAAATTACTTACATCCCAGAATCCCCATATATAAACAACAACAATATTTTAAAGATATAACCAATCCTGGCATCTGTGCAGCAGCAACACAGTAACAGATAAATGGAGCTAGTGACAGAATGAATACAGTTTAGAGGTAGTGATGGTCGATGTGGTTATTGTCCATGCGAGGGGAGAGAGGGGAAAGGGGGAGTAAATAGTCAGTACATTTTGTATATTCTTAATGATACATGACATAAGACGAGCCAGGTGGCCCACGCACCACTTTTATAGAACCCGTGATTGCTTGAAGAATATTATTAACATTCACAGGGCATAAACACAACATGACGCACATAAGCTTTCTGTCAATAAAGTTGCTCAAGTCCAACTCTAAAACTCCACTGTCCGCTCCTTTATAGGCTCCCCTGTGGCGTAACTTCATGGGAGCGAGTGAGACCGTCCAATAAAGCGCAGCCTCCGGGGCCCATGCTGTGTTTTTTAAAAAGGAGCAGGCAGAGGTGTGGCCTGCTCCAGCCACATGGTAATGATTAGAAGAGGACAGCGCCTAACAATCCTCCCATTCACCACATGTTGTTGACCACCAGCAGCAGCACAGACACAGTTCTCATTCTTCATTGCCTGCCTGATACATACGATTCTGGATCTCACCTCCAAAAAGGAGCACTTATTATTCACTGTCCGAGCGAGTGACATCTTGTTCCATCGCTGCAGCCCCCCGCCACCCACCATTGTAATAATCCTACATGAGCAGCGGCTGTATGGACATGTTTCTATAGTCAGAGATAAATCACTGTCAGAGCATCGACGGAGCAGAGGAGCATAATTTTGTAAAATAAAGCTGGGGTGACTTTTAAACCACAAAAACTAGAATAAATGCAACTCGTTCCTTGCTCTCAAAACAGTTTGGTTCAATCACTAGTTTACGCATGCATTCATTTTTTCCTTCACGTCAGAAAAGTCAAAACGAGAGGGCAAATCACGGAGCTCTTTCTGATAAGAGGAAGGCTGCATATTCTGATTTGAATCGTTCTACTTTTATAAGACTTGTTGATGGGACAAACAACATGTATTACTTATTGAAAAAGAACCTTAGATACCCCAGATGTAGGGACTAATATGGACGCATAGAACACTCATTAAATTGAATTTTTTGCCCAACGGACCGGCGTCAGAACTGTTAATACTTTCCTCTCATAAACTCAACATTAAAGTCAACTGGAAAATATGTTGACAATAGTATTGTGAGAAAAAATCGAATAATTTGCACGACAGCATATATAATCCCTCTACAATAGTGCTACAACCCCAACCCATATGCAACTTAAACATACAACTCCGAGACTAGATTGTTTTGTCTTGTACTTCTGTTCACCGCAGCAGACACATCCTGCTAAGTTTCATTTGCTCTTCAAGTGCTACACCAGACAGTGGGCATCTCTGGTTTCATTTGATTTGGTTTTAAGTCCAGACTATGTAAACGTCAGACGGAAACACAAGAGGCTCTGAGGGTTTGACAAATTCAACAGTTTGGATTGAGGCAAAAGGTTTGTGGACATCTCGAGCTCCTCTGAACATCGTCTTGTCGCTGTTTTCACGTCACATTTTGTTACTGTCAGTGCACTTCTCACACATCAACCCACAATGCACCAGGAACACTAAGTAGTAAGGCACACTGTATACTTGAATATTGAACATGAAGAACCAGATTCTTGCCACAGCATGACGTTTCCCCAGATATCGATCTTTCCTAGAGGCTCGGGCAGTGAATCAATAGGAAGCAGCAGGTAAAGGCTTGTTAACCACAGATGCAGGGAATTGTGTTAGTGTCTGAACCTGTTGTGAAATTGGGGAAATGAAAAACTATTGCTCAGTAAAAAACGCATTAAATATTTAAACTATAGATTCACAAATGTTGGAACTCACTTGGCAGACTTAGATACATCTCTATGAAGTAATAATATGATTATCAATTGACAGGGGCATACTGAATAATAAATTAAAACATTACATTTTGTTTATTTGTATTTATTTTTGTATTACCCTGAATCACAACAGCCGTCATCACAAAGCATAATCTTGAAAATTGTGAACAGATTAGAACACGTTGTTACAAACGAGCACAAACCATAGTTTACATCATAAATTCCACCATATGATTCACATGACATATGACCCATTTTAACCAAGAGCCAAACTAAAATATAGTTATATGAACGCAATGACTGATATTGAGTATTCAAATAATCTAATAGAGCTTATTTTAAAGTGAGAAAACTATTTATTAAACAATAAAATTAAGGAAATAATTTATTTCTCATTGAGTTCTAAAAAGTAATTTAAGAGGAATGATCTTTCTTAGTATTGTGGCATTGAGTTAAAATATAGATCATTTTGTCAAAAGTAATTGTGAAAAGATTATTGGGGTTTCTCCCGCTGATAAAGTATTTAGTATTGAAAGGTTATGTCTGATGATGGACAACAAATGTAATGAAGTTCATGAGTAATGGTCACAAGGAGCATGCAATAGCATTTATTCTTAGCTATGTTTCTAATTCCAAAAATAGTATAGTATAGTATTGTTATCTAATATTTAAATCTGCTTGTCCATGTTAAACGATTGTATGAGAGAGTTGTACTGTATGTCCCAAACTTAAACATCAGAAGAGAATAGCCCTCCAAGACACAGTCCACGTGTCAGCCCACCCCAAACAATCAATGGATTCATGTTTTTTCCATAGCCCTGAGCTCTGTGTAATATTAAGCTCAGGGTGAACGGGGGAGGGTGCAAGTTAGGGTCTGGTTGTCTGGAATGTCTGACTTTTACCCTCCGCAATCTTACCAGGGTTTGTAGATGTTAATGCTCTTATGTGACTCACCCTATATGATTGGTCCGTAACGAAATTTCCAGTTCTCTTAGGACTTGAGTGGATTCCTGAACTCTCCGTCTGAATTTCTGTGGAAAGAAAAAGATTTTATTATTAGCGGTGGGTTTTTCATCATCGCCCAAAGTACGGTAAATGTAAAAATAAGTATTGGATTGCGTTTCAAGTCGAGTATGTGATTGATGTAGAGGTCAGTACAACCATCAGTGGCAGTTTTGAATTATAATGAAAACAAATCCAACAGTGCAGCAGTTTCCTCAAGCATCTGAGAAAGGTGTAATTAAAAGTATGTGGGGACAGAAGGGAATATTTAATACCACAATCAAGCGACCATTTTGTCCACACAGAAACAATCATACTGGTCATACTTGTTGTACATAAGATAATGTGTCATAAAATATTTGTATGTTGTGATGTTGTGCACATTATAGCATATCCAATTACCAAAAATGTAAATGCTTTTGACCATATTTAAAATGTAACTTTCAATTCCATGTGGTCCTTATCAAGACTTTTCGAAAGGTTTTTTTTTTTTTTCTCAAGGTTTCATAAGGCAGGACAGGTATAGTGATGTGCATGATAAGTCAAACAAACACAAGCTTCTGCCGCACAGTGAGCCTGGTTCTGCTGGTTTGTCTGACTCCAATAATAACTTCAGTATGATTTAGTGCAGATTTAGATTTAGAGCAAATAACAGCTTGGGGCCACATACGGCTAAGTTCACTTTGCTATCAGGCTCTTGTACCCTTTACAGCAGAACATAATGAATCCCTCGGTCCTGCCGCTACGCCTCCACAAAGTCAGCACTCGGCATCTGGTCTGCTCTGACTGCTGCCCCTCTCCCCCATAACCGTAACAAACTCCACAATATGACAATGTAAATGCACATCCCTGGTTTGGTGTCTGGGTTTCAATTTAGACTTTGCATAAGCTTATTTTATCAATTCTATGGAGACTCACAAGGATTTACACAACATTCTAGATGGGTTAGTGGTGGTAAATGTATGAATGTTGAATTAATATTTATTCTTGAAAGGGACTGAAATTGGAAGGATGGAGGAGGGCTTTTTGGGGTCATGCAGGTTTAAATATATTTCTACTTGCCAACAGAAAATCAAAAAGTACAGAGGCAGAGCTGACTCATTGGAAAGCTCGGTGTATGAACATTAGCGTTATCTCGTTTGCTCATGCTGGCTCTTTATATAGCGCTAATCCTGACTGGTAGCTGCATGATAAAATCACGCCACCTAATTGGTTACCTCTCCAGGCTCTTCAGCAGACATGCAAACACACAGGACCACACAACACATTCTTGCAGCTGTTACTGTGGCTACTCAAGAGGGAAAGGGAACGCTTGGATAGAAGTATGAGCCGGCAGAATGTAAAAGAGACACAGTATCTAAAGAATAATGGTGTACCTCCTTTGCTTTTGAATCGCTGTCAAGGGAGGGATCCATGCAGGCAAAAACAAAGAGGGGCTTCAAGGCATTACACAAGAGTGAATAGCTAGGGGAGATCAAACACACTCAGCAGTATAGGGATGCCGAAAATCCCTGATGAAAAAGAGGAAAAGTGGGGAGATCGAGAGGTACAGTGTGATGTGAAGTGGTTATTGTGGTTGGTTCTTGGTTGGCAACTCTGTCTTTGGGCCAAGGACGTGGGGAGATGAGAAGCAGATGTAAGAAATGGGACACTGATCACTAACTACCTTAAACAAAATGTAGAAACGGATTATAGAACTTGGTCATTCAAATTCTCCCTTTGTATTCAAATGATATAGCCTGAATTCAACTCTACTGCTTGTAGAAATAGAAAGAGAAAAGTACCGCAAAATGTAATTAAATTGACAGGGAGATAGCAAGGCAGATGGTCAATGGAAGAGGTGACAGACGGGTGACCTTGTAAAGAGGTTTGACTGGTAATGCTTTTAATATTGACTAAAGGGTGAAAGTAAAATTATTAGTGGCCAACATTGGGAAAATTAAATTCTTTGGCTTTAGTGTGATTACAAAACAAACTTGAAACTTGAGATACGTTTCAGGTACGGTTGGTGGCTTGTTGGGTTGACTGACATTAAACATCTGTAAAGTTTATATCAAAAGCTCCCTATCATCCCCATAGTGTTCCAGTTGTTTGGTATTACATGTTTTTATTAGGGAGGAGTTCTTGGTGTTTGTGGAGAGAGGCGCATATTTTGGGGCAGTCTACAGAGGCAGCACTTTCCTTTCTCCCACCAAACACCCAAAGCTCTAAGTGCTAACAGATGCAAGTGGATATGTAAATGGAAGTGATGCAAAATACAGTACATAGAAGTATTTTGATACATATAAATGGTATATATAAAAAATAAAAATGACTACTTATTTGGTATCTTGTATTCTGCATCGTCTCAAGTTTAATTCCATTCATAGAATTCTAGAGCAACTGGTACAGAGAAGTTCATCCTAGATACAAATCAATGGCTGATAGATTCTTGGAGGCTGGCTGGGCCGCGGCTCTTCCTCTTTGGGTACTGATTGGCTGAGGGCCGTCGGAGGAATGTGCCGGAGCCTGCCTATGGAAAGCAGAGGAGCAATGACCTCCAGCTCTTGCAGAGGCACAAAGTGGCAATTGTTTGAGTTAGAAGAAAAAGGGGGATGGAGCTGGAATGTAGAGAGAAGCCTATAACTCTTTTCCTGGTCCTGCCCTGGTCCCTGGTTTTGTCCTCCGTGCTCTGTTGGTCCTCTGCCCAACACTTCAGTTTACCTTTAGCTTATTATCAACAACAATCTTGCCTGTCCCATTGCACTTGGCATACTAGGCTCAGAGGAATAACCGGTCTTTTACTATTGAAATTTGACTTTCATACATGCAAGGATCTGTGATGATTTCCACATGGCAATTTAATTGTGACAAACAATAAAACAATGAAGGGATGTCACTAATATTTATTAGTAGACTAGTCAGCAATTATTTTTTTGATTAGTCAACTATCAATTATTTTGACTTGAACAGTTTCACATATTGTTTTAATTCTGGCATGAGTGTGTTATTTTTTTTACACTGCTTTATAAATCAACTTGATTGATTGTGATACAGGCTATGAACAATGGTGACTTAACGTATTCTAGAATCTAGAGAAAATGTACAAATACAGTATGGATGGCAAGGTAAACAAATAAAATGAAACCACAACACAGTATTTGAAGTAAAATATCTGTTGACATGTGTTTTGGAGTCTGTCCCGTGCAGTCACAATGTGATCGTTCTCAACTTCTCATTGCCACTTTTTTGTACATAATATGTCCTGTCCTGTTTGCACATTTCTTCCTTTCTGCACAATCTGAGTGTTTCTATCTATGCCAAACGTGACACGTAAATTTCTCCTGTGTGAGATTAATAAAGTACATCTTATCTTATCTTAACTAATATGTATGTCTATGTCTAATATAACTATTGCACTGGAATAACATGGATGTTGAATCGAACTAGTCCAGTTGGTTTATAAGAAGGTAAACATAATGTCTGTAAGCAGTATATCATATAAGCAGCAGCTATTATGCTATTAAAGGTAAATTTTCATCTTTGTGTCATTTAACATAAGAATCCAACAGGTGAATATCTACGGGACCTCTGTGGTTGTATCTGATCATATTTATCCATCCATCCGTATTTTTTCTTCCGCTTTATCTTTTGCCGGGTTGCAGTCTAAGCAGAGCCCAAACTTCCCTATCCACACACACTTCCTAGGCCAGCTGAGTCCCTCCAACGTGTCCTAGGTCTTTCCCGGGATCCCCTTTCAACAGGACATGCAGGAACACCTACCCATCCAAAACAGATACCCGAGCCACCTCGACTGGCTCTTCACAACATGGAGAAGCATGTTCCTCCTGTGTGCCAGGCTCTGAGCTCCTCACCCTATCTCTAAGGGAGCGCCCAGGCACTCTGTGGAGGACCCTTAGCTGACCATAGGTGAGTAAGGGAACAAAGATTGGCCGGTAAATCTGGAGCTTTGCATTTCGACTCTGCATCACTGCACACGTTCAACCAATCCACACGCTGCACTTATCATCTGATTATATTTAGTGCTACATTTTTATTTTTAGTAGCACACTTCTGGAAGAATATAAACTCATCTCTTGCTTTTGTCTCGGCAAACTGATGTCACAGGTGGCAACGGAGGTGAGTTGTTTGGTTGGTTTTTAGATTTGGTTGTTGTTTCCCATTTGAAAAGGACTGTGCACAAATACAAAGCTCTCAGGGCCACACAATGCTTGGGTGACATGATCTGTACCAGATATTTTCTATGGGCTAAGGAATGAGCTTAACACAACTTAGATAAGTGAAACATATCAAATCAAGTCACCATGTTCGAAATCTCTACAGCCAACAATAAAATGTACTTGTTCTAGTCCTCGTTAAAAATATTGCTAAACTTGATCAACCAAACCTACTGTCTAACATATTGCAATGGGAAACTCAATCCTCACCAGAGCCAATTCGATTCATTCAGTGATTTGCAGTCATTTTGGCAGCGGCGGCTAGTTAATTTGTTTATCACAGAGGCTCTGTTTCTCCATGCCAAAAATACGTTATTCTGGCATCAGCTCCTAATTTGATAGAGCTGCTCCACTCACCACTGTCTCAGTCTATATCACCATGGACTAAAGTGGGAGGTTTGTCCACAGGTTTTGTGAAAGCTGGGAATCACAAACACATTTAATGTAACTTTCTTCTGACAAACTAAACTTTTTGTCAATTACAAAATTAATAAATACAAAATTGGATGGTTCACCAGTGGCTTGTCTACATGGAGATAAGCGGTTGCTTTGATCATAGAGTGTGGAACTAAACATCTCCAACAGGTACAGTATATCTTAACTAAACCTTATCCTTAAATTACAAATCCAATTTGTATGAAAATTTGTTATTATATTTTTTTACTTCACATCTATGAGCAAGTCTCAGAAAAAAATGACTATTTATAGCATTTTTGTTGTTGTATAAGCATAAAAATTATTACTTAAACCACATGAGCATTTACCACGTACAGTATTCCTAGTGCTGTGGGCGTTTCAGATAAACAAGTGTCTGCTGGTTGTGTCACTGTCTTTCCCATGGCAAGGCCCTCTTTTCTCAGCTGCGGTGGGAAATCCTGTACACATGGGGTCAGGGCTGTGGCGGACAGGAGCACTCACCTTCCGTGTAACCGCTGGGTCCAGATAACCGCGCAACTTTTGGATGTATGTGTGAGGGGGATTTTTCACTTGGAACCGTTCCTGCAAACAAAAAAGAAACTTTTAGTCAGCAAGTGTGGACAGTCATGTTCATAATGTGTTCATAATACATAAACTGTGTGTGGCATAGTATACACAGTTACGTAACAAACCGACTCACATACAATAGGAATAACAATTGAATAAGTCCCTATGAAAAGAAAAGGCTGAAGATTAAACCTAATAATGGTGAGTAATTAGCCTATTTAGAAAGAACAATGGACGCAATGAACGGTACTATTCACACACACAATGAATGAGATTAAACTTGAGTGCTTGGACGTTCAAATGATATTGTGTAAGACATTCATTTATAGTTAGCCATTTCTTTATTCAACCTTTGTTTGAACCATTGTTTTTATTTATTTATCCCCAGTGCTTGTTAATAGAACACTACCCATACACAAAACAGACATCCTATTTGTTGTATTTTGTTTGTTTGTTTTTTTACAATGTAACACACACACACACACACACGCAGATTAGAAAAGCAGTGCGTGCCAAGTCCCAACACAAAGCCATTATACTACAAAAGTTCTTATATTCTTATTATTCACATGGCATTTGAGAAAAAGTGGGGCATTCTTATACTAAGTGGGGCAAGTCCAAAGAGAGACAGGTGGTTACCCAAACCACCAGATCTGTGCTGAAGATAAACATTCAGAGTCTAAAACTGTACTGGGGTTACAGAATTTGAACATAATAAAGTCACTGAACTAAATAAAAAAATATAGTGACTTATAAAAAATACTAAATTCGGCTTCATGATGATTGATGATAATGGGGCAACTATATGCAAAAACGATAGCGTGTGTTTTACATATTTTTTATGTCACTAATTACTTTTTAATTGCAAAACAAGGTTGGCACAAGCCGTTCAAACCAACCAGAATGGCAGTTCAAAAGCAGGTGGGTGTGAGCGTGCAGAGGACTCGGTGTTTGCTGGAGGTCAAACTGTAATCATGCTCGTTAGTCTCATTAATGTGAATTATCTGTGACCGGGGGGTGTCATCGAGACTGCACGGACTCTACATGCAAGAGGCCACCTGAGTTCACCCAGGACAGGGTTAGGGACAATCTCTCACCATTGTGCTGTAAATAGACCGACAGAGGATTAGAGCTACTTGGATGTGTGAGAGGACTTGGACTGGTGTGAGGACCACCGAAGTCGTGAAGGAGGAGAGATGCGTCCTTCCTTCAGGTGCTGTGTCTGAAAGTGCCTGTTATTGAAATCAGAGCTCATTTGCATTTAGAACAAGTCAGTTCACTGGAGTTTGTTTAGCTCTAGGAAACACATCCTGGTCTTTCACCGCAGCGACTCAACGGCTAGCAGCCCTGTTACTTTGTGCACAAACATGCTGAATTTGACAAGAGCAAAATGTCAAATCTCATGAGCTTGCAGAGGTGAAATAGTTAAGACGTCACAGGTTTTTAATTTGAACATAATCTTTGGAAGAATTAAACATTCCTCAGATTATATAGACAAGCAGCAATACTAATCCTCTACTGAAAGAAGTTGTGTGGTTAAGCTTGCTGCGAAAGTCTACCAAAATTTACATCACACGTTTTAATTACATTTTCTGCATAAATTCTTCCATAGGCTATAACAGAAGATTCACAAAACTGTGTGAAACAAAGTTGCTGTTAAAATCCTGGCTACTCAACATGCTAAACACAGACTGAGCATTATAATAACTCTGTGAGCTGTCAATCATGATGCGGTGTCTCCTGCATCAAGTGTCTCCAGACAAACTGAAAATGCATGAGAGGAGTAACACTGTCTTCAGCTTATGAAAGAATAGTAGATATAGTAGATATATGTATACCTAATGTTAAGGTTCAGTATGTGTAAAATATGTAACTTTAATAAAGAAAATGAAAGAATTGTGAGCATTTAAAGCATATGTGGCGATGAAATGGTTGACATGCTTTAGTCTAACACTAAAACTAACAATTATTTTGATCATCAATTAATCTAGAGATTATTCTTCCTCTAAATCGATAAGTTGTTTGAACGCAGACAACGATTGTTTATCTCAGATTGACCTTGACATTAAAATTTTTCCCCAGAACTGACCATTTTTTCATAAAAATAGAGATATTTACACAATTCTTATTATTTTTTATTCACTTTTCTGTCCGTCAAAATAGTTTGTGCAAAAAGCAGTTAAGGATCGATCTTTTCCTATAGAATGTTGTTGAATATGGAAAAAACATTATTAGTTGCGATTCATCGATTCATCGTCATAGTCCTACTCTAGTCTCCTCTATCTTTTCAATAATTCATGCTGACTAAATATGTACCATGTGAAGTGAAATACAGATGTAGTATCAGTAACAATTCGAAATTCAGTCAGTTAGAGGTGGTTGATTATCACTTTACTGTTTTGTTCACAGTCATATCATAAAAACTGTTTCTGTACATCTGATTTCCTGAATATGGCTCACACGGCTGCCATGTTTTTATGACGGTATCACCATTTTCATACATTTCTTCTGTCCCAGAACAGAACACAGAAGTTAAGGCCCATGTTGGTTGTGTTTGGACAAAGGCGGATTCTCAAAGGTGGTGTAGTTTTAGGAAGAGCGTTGAAGTTTGCATCATGTTAAGCTGTTCTCCGCTGAGACTCTGAAATGAGATCACACGTCTGGGCTCTGGTGTGCCGCTATCGTCTCCATCACATTTATCACTGCCAGACGTGTTAGCAAAACAGGAAGGACGACAGCAGTGCGTGGAAAAGAAGAGGGAATTCTCACATAGGAACCTCAATATTCCCAAGTGAGGCTTAGCACAACACTATACAACTTTTCAACGTATAGTGGCCTCAAACAACCAGGAGGCATGAATACAGTATAACCATAATTCTCAATGCAGGACTGCTTCAATGTAGTTGAGATCAATGCTTCTCAGTTCTCCATTTCTATGAATTGCTATAATTGTCTGCAGAACTAGTGTTCTTCCCTAATGAGGATCAAATAGTGGAAGTTAACAGACATGGAACTAAAAAGTTGATTGTTTGAAGCGTAATTACAAGAATAAGTGAAGCACACATACGGATTTGTTTTAGTTTTGTTATATGTTGTAATTTCCGTGAAAGCTTCAATAATTCAGCCTTGTACCATGGTCTCCTGCGCCTCCAGGTACCTGCTTTGGCCGCTCTATGAACCTCCATCACTGTTGCCATGGTGACATCAGAACTATGACACAGCTGACTTCGAGCGCTGGATTGAGTTATCAAAAGCGGGTGTGGTAATGACCATAAAGATGATGAAACAATACGAAACATGTGCATTTAATAATGTTTTGACTATTGAACTCAAGAAAACCTTATATTTTGCTACAGTTGTTTTATTGTCTTGCCTTCTCGAGTGGAAATGTGATTATGACCATGTAAGTACTTTCTGAAAATATAGGAAATAATTCAAAATGACAAAATATAAAGGCCACAGGTAAATGTTCCAATACTCTCATATTCATCTCATTTATATTTATGTTACAGTAGAAAGTGGAAGGCACTGTAAGAACGCAGATGGAGTACAGGGTTCATTCATAATTTGTGGATAAATCATTCTATATGAAAGAAATGCCAATTTTTGGGGTGGCAGTGGCTCAGTTGGTAGAGCATTGGCCTTTGAGTCCAAAGGATGTGGGTTCGAGCCCACCACAAGACCTTCTCCACTGACTCCCACTGATGTCTGCTGTCGTTGTGTCCTTGGGCAAGACACTTAACCCACTTTGCCTATAAGAAGTGCAGAAGTGATGTTCGCTGCTTGCCTTGATGTGTATATGTGTATATGTGTATGCATCAAACTGAGATTTCCCCCTTGTGGGATGAATAAAGGACCTTCTTTAATGCATTTTAGAGAATAGTCCCCCACCTGGTCGCAGATAAGCTCCCACTTCTTCTCGTTGTCATACTGCCGTAAGAGCCTGGCTTTGTCTGGAGGGAGATTCATGGAGCTCTGTAGGAGACACGAAGGACAAAGTTAATGACATTTACCTGATAACATGGCAACCACACTAACCGATTCAACCTGACGGCATCACTCATTTACAATACAGACCAGTAACCACTGAGAAAGATAGGCGTGTAATGAGATTTCCCTGTCTGTTGAACTTGAAACCTACCACAGCTGCCAAGAATATATGTTGGGAAGAGAGGCCACTAATTAAGACCAAAATATCTGGCATGTGAAGTTCAGACGACTCTAAGGAGAAAGTTATTAAAGAACTGTGTTGCGGCACTGAGGCAGAAAGATATAAGGCTGTTGAGAACCACATGACAAGTAACACCATGTTGAAATGAAACAAGCATCAAGTGGAATCTAGAGCCAGCTACCAGCCAGCTGAGAGGATACACTTGCAAAATACTTAGCGCCTTTGGGTACACAGTTACAGTTCTCATTATAAGAAACACACTTAGAAACACAATTCAGTCACAATTGATGTATTTATGGCTTCAGTGTATTTATTTTTTAAGACACCGTTTTTTCAATTGTTCACATAAAAGTGTGTTGATGTCTGTAGCCATAGTTGCCTGGGGTCAGACTGACATAAGCGCTGAGCACAATCTCACTCAGTTAAGGTGCAAGGACAAAGCATTGGAAGTGATACTGACAAACTATAAAAAAATAATTTCTATAGAAGGAAATGGGGGAGATAAAATTAAAGCTATTATTTCTTCCAAATCCAAATAACACAATAAAAAAACTATTTCTTATCCAGTTTTTTTCATGTCTTGGGAGGAGCGCTTCAAGAATGACCCCTGCAGTGGCTTCATCTGAAAATAAAAAGAGTTACTGAACTTTTGCATGAGGCTGCTTTTTCCACTTCCTTTATCAGCATCTGCTCTGCGCTCACGACAGCTCTCTAACATGGCTATTTTTACAGCAGAATTATTCACCACACCCGAAAAGAAAAAGCCTTGAAACTATTAAAACAGCATGCGATGTAGACAGGGCCAGATTAACACTTTGTTGTACCCTGGGCAACAATATTCAAGGGCCCCATCATCACGACCCCAGGATCACCATAATATGGTCATATATAGGATATATTACTGTAATATACAGTAAATATACTCAATACTTCAAATCCTAACTGTCATTAGGTGTATTTTCATTTACAAATATTTAAAGCTCATAGAACTACGAATGCACTACTATGTCCCCTATCAAAGACATTCACTCACATATGATGCTATGAAAACAAAACACATCAGCATCTGTATAATCTGGTAACATTGACCCACTACATTGAGAGGGAAGGAAGTATCCTCCATTTTCACAAAAAATGAATAGATAAGCAACCACTTTTAAACCATTGTTTATTTAACAACACTTATTCCCAATAGAAATGTATGGAATAGATAGAGCTATCACAGAAGATCACAGACAACAGATCAAGCAACATTTTGGTCCTCTGCTCATTGAACTTGTTTTAAAATATAACAACATGCTATAGCACAATTAACCAGTCAAACATTTTAGTGCTACATAAATACACTACACAATACTAAATACACAATACAATTTCTCTGAAGAAGACGAGATAAAATAAATGGTATATAATCTGGCAAAACACAACATTTTAATCCTAAATAATGAGGAAGTGCATGTTTGCTTTCATTTGGCATCTTATACTGGCTTTTTTCTGGACTTTGACTGTGCAAACTGATGTATGATCTCTTCGAAATCAAGGCCACTAACAAGTTCATGTTCAATGGCTAAGAGAGAAAGTGCAGAGAGCCGTGTCTGAGACATTGTGGTCCTCAGCTCATTTTTAACTCGTTTCAAAACAGAAAATGACCTCTCACCCTCACAGTTAGATACAGGTAAGGTTAAAAACAGTCTTAGTGCAACATAAACATTCGGAAATGTTGTCTTAAGTCCATGTCTGTCAAGAGCTTGCAGCTGCTGTACAGGTGAAGTTTCATACTGCACAAAGTGCTTGAACTGAATAAGTTCATCTGACAAGGAACTATCCAGATCTGTTGGATAAGTGGAGCTCAGTTTAGCAGCTCTTACACGCACATCACAATCGTCACAGTCCCTCTCAAACAAAACCCCAAAGAGGTCACACACATGTGAAAGAAAAAAAAAACGATGTCCAGAATCACTGTAAAACCTGCTGATGTTTAGACACAAGTCCTGTGTGTGTGCAGATGTGATCTAAAGCCAAGGGCCGCTAGAAAAATCATGTTTTACATGAGATTTTAATGGGAGACGCGTTGGTGCGCGCACAAAATTAGAAATCCATCCTAAATTAGAGCGCAGCAGATTTCTAATTTTGTGCGCGCACCAACGCGTCTCCCATTAAAATCTCATGTAAAACATGATTTTTCTAGCGGCCCTTGGCTTTAGATCACATCTGCACACACACAGGACTTGTGTCTAAACATCAGCAGGAGGAGCAGCAGGTTTTACAGTGATTCTGGACATCGTTTTTTTTTTCTTTTATAAAGTCTCGCGTCTGGCCAAACCAGCGCACAGAGACCATGAAGACAAACACATGCATGTGATTTGTGTTGCTCTACATCAGTCCTCTGGCCCGTACTGTCCTATACACTGCTCCATAGACTAGGGAGAGCATCAGAAGACGCGGACCTGCGCGCACGGCCTGTGTAGATACTCCAAAAAAATGTTACGCGCAGAGAGCGCGCAGTAAACGCGTACGTGCTGTTTACGCCTACTGTGTAAATTCCCCGTAACAGTATTTTGCTCGTGCCCTTGCTGTCTGGGCCCTTTAGATGGGCCGCCCATGACGGCCCTCCGTGGGCCCTGGGCCCAGACAGCAAGGCCCTTTAGATGGGCCGCCCACGGAGGGCCCCTGGGCAATTGCCCAGTTGCCCGTATGGTTAATCCGGGCTTGGATGTAGAGTGGGATTCAAAGCATAAATGCAAACACGCCAGCAGAATCCACAAGAAGGAATCCACTTCAACAATAACCAAAGATAAAAACAATAACAAAATAAAAACATAAAAATAAAAGAGTAGCAGAGAAATTGTTTAAGTGTGGTCTGACATTGGCCGTTGAACTAACTAGTTAGTTTTAAATTGCACATATGATTTAAGATGGGGGAACTGGCAAATGCAAATGGGAGGTCTAGAAATGTTCTGGAAAGATGTCAAAGCACTTATCCCGATGATTGTAAAATGAGTTGAATAACGTCTGAGATCGATAATAGTGATAGCCAATACTCAAACCTCAATTTCCAAAGCAGTGGCTCAGTCTAGGACTAATAGGTCATCTATCAGTGTGTGCTCAGAGGCTGGTTTTTCTCGTCCGGGGATTCCAGCCGAGGAAGATGGATGGCACAAACAAACTAACACCAGGATTATAGTTAGACGCAGAAAGCTGTGTGATTCTCAGTATGAGGTTATAGGAGCTCAAACTATTTTCCAGTTTCATCTCAACAAGTGCATCTAAAAAAGTAAAATCGATGACGAGACAGGTGCAGCAGTCTGGAGCCTGGTAATTTAAGACTACAGACTTCAATATTCCATAACGGACATTCTCGCCGACTATCATTGGAAGAATATAATCCATATAAGGATATAATTTTGGCTGAAACCAGGGCTGAGATTTTGTACCAATATTGTACAGAACAAAAAACTGAACGCACATAAAGCAAGCTTAAAGATTTATTGCTTCAATGGACCCATCAACAAATGCAACAAATGAACCTAATTCCCGTCATGGCATGGTAGTCCTTTTGGAAACACAAGAATTCGGCTTAAAAATCAAGAATCTTTTCACAAGAATTCCATAGGTTCTAGCAAAAAGGGAGAATAATGCATCAATTTCCTGATGGAACCAACACCAGGCAGTATAAGTAAGTGTGCTGCTGCCACTCCGACATCCTGAACTAAGGCATAATCTCAATCATTAAAAAAACCCACAGCAAGGTTCACAGACAAGCCTTCGCCAAGTTATTCCAGGTCTTGTGGTATGTTATATTTAGAAATGGGGGATTTGTTGATGCAGATGTCGAGGTGTGTGTTCGCTTGAGATGTCGGAGTTGTAAATATCTTGTCTGCTAGTGCGAAACAAATCAGTGAACCATTTCTTTTAGATTCATTTCTTAGATGCCAGTGCTAATGAGCTGTGACAGGCACTCGGGTAGCCATGTCGTGCCACTGTAGGATAGCGGTTGTGTTATTAATGGGGTGTTTAGGAAAGACTTTTAGGACAAACTGAACTTTTGATTAATGCAAAGATTGGGTCAAAAAAGGGTTTCTGTGACAGACTGTGGGATATTGGTAAAATGACGCTTGTTCGAACCATATGAGGTATAATTGATCTGATATGAACGTACATTAAATCTTAGTTAAATAAATGGTTTTCCATCTTTTCGGTTTGAAACATTTCTGCCTGTAGACATTATTAAATTTGGCCTCTAAAACCCAAACAGCCAAATGTTGGGTTTGTAATATGAATCTACTGAAAGAGGAAAATGTGTGCTGTGAGATAAAGCGAAAGTATGAGAGTAATGCAGGCCTGTACAAATGAAGCGTTTCAACATTACATGAGAACTAAAGCGGACAGAAACTATGGGAAACTCAGTTGGGAAATTAACGTTTTTGGAAAATAGATTTCTTCAGATCTGTGTGACCAATCATTTTTTTTCAGATGTGAAACTGGGGTGAGTGACTTTGGCAAACTGCTGCTACAAGTCCAGCTGTCTCACATCTGCAGAGCTAAGTAACATCCTCCTGAACAAATCAAATCTTTTTTCAATTATATAAGATGCTGAACTTTGTAAATGAAAGCTAATACTATAAAAAAAAATGTCTTGATGAAGGTCCTGCAGGTAAAATGGAGCTTGAGAATTAAAGTATTCAGGGACACACGTCTCATGGCTTCTTGTCACCTCTGTGTTGTTTTCATCATCCTTTTGTTTCATTTCCTCCTCTTCACGGGTTCATGTGTTGATGTGAAGAAACATTAAAGCTCATCTTTC